AGATCAAAGCCTATTGCTGCATCATCAACCCAACCACCATAAGTGAGCCTTGACCCGGAGGACAGTTGGATGATATTCCGTGATTCCCTTAGCCTGGCATCGCTGTGGAGTCTTGGTTCAAAGAGAAAATGAGGAGACTCCTATGTAAGTGGAATGCAGTCCACTAACTCCGGAAGCTTCTGCCGGCCATCAGGGATCTACACATAAAATGAGCATTCCTAGGAAAGCAATGGCTCCTTCCAGCCCCTGGGGAGGACTTTAGACTCCAGAACAACGTTGCTTATAGGATACAGCGCCCCAGAACTCTGCATCTTCATTCTGGCTGTGTTCCCCCCAGGTCTTGGGCTCTTTCCGTGTTTGAGGGTTGGCTGCTTAGCCCTTCACCAGGCACACGGCTGATCATCATGTTGGGAAACATGCCTTCAAGAGCCTCCCGGCTGTCCCACCGCATTCCCCACTCAGGCACCAGTCGGGCCGACTAGAGTGGGCACTGCAACCTGAGTAGCGATGGGCACGTCTCTGATGGCAATGAGAGGAAACACGTCTGGAAATGTGTCTGCTAGCCCCTGACCTCAGTACGCGTCCTCGTCTTCCAGGGGTGCTCCACCTTGGCAGCAGGAACAGGAGAGCTGTGTTCTGTGTGCCGCCAAGGGCGCCGCACTGTGCACAAGTTCGCGGGGATCCCACAGAGGCTCCTTTGAGAAGAAACCATGCCACCCAGGACATCTTGCCCGAGACTGACCAGGCGCCTCTGGGAGCCAGGGAAAGTGATGTTGTTCTTGAGAATGATCTCCTACCATGTGATCATCTCCCAGAGGACGGTAGCCCCTTAGATCTTTAAACATAACCATCCGTTGCGTTCTGAAGTGTGGAAGTGTGGAAAGCGATTATAGAGGTTGTTAAATCGACCCCCTTGACTTACAAAGGGGGAAACTGAGTCCGAGCAATTAGGTGACAAGCCCAGGGTAATGCGAGTTTTAATGTTGCTGGTCTCATACCCTCTAACCACTCCGTTCCACAGTGCCTTTCTGCTAAAGAAACCGTTATGCTCAGAGTTGTACAGATTGAAAAGAATGAACTATACCTTGAAATAATCCCAGAGTGTGGATGAGTGCTGGGTTCTTGTTGGTGTCCAGGAAGTTGCAGGTCCACAAAACTTGTGCACTCTGCCTCTATTTTGGGAACTTTTCAGGGTCATGTAGTTGGGCTTTTTTTTTTTTTTTTTTACATTTCTGATAGAAAATCGCCTCTTGGATCCCACCTTCAGTTGGTGGTAGTACATGTCCGTTCTTCCCTGCACTAGCCCTCCAGGGAGCCAACTCCCACCACAGCCACGCCAGAGCGAAGCACGTCGAGTTTACACGACTATCCGAGTTTGGCAATTGCTGGGTTGACGCAGGTTGCCGAAGCCTCCAGCTAGTTCAGAGACCGGCTCCATGGCAGGGGGAAGGGACCAGCCGCCTGCCACCTGAGTCTGAGAAGGTCCTGGTCGGAGGACGCAGAGCTATGAAGGAAGGGACTCCTCCATGCTGCCTTGCGCTTGCAGAGGGGGCTCCATGACCTGCCTGTGCGCCGAGGGGTCGCTGCTCTCACTGCCCGATAAGAAGAGGCTGCACCACTGGTGTGCAAAGAGCAGAGGGGTCCAGGGGTTCATCTGGCTGGTTCTGGATCAAGCCTCCTACAGCCAACCCTGAAACCCCAAAAGAAAGCTTCCCTCTTCTGAATATGACATTCATCTCCAGGTAATCTGGACCAAAAAAAAAAAAAAAAAGTCTTCGCTTCCTATGATTCTCCTGCCATCAGTTGGCTTTGCTTGCCGAGCTATTTCTAAATTTTGTTTTGGACAGGGAGCTTAATAAAGATGATGGAAAGAAAAAAAGAAAAGAACAGTCAACAGAACAGTCAACATACTGTGTTAAGTTTACTCATGTGACACTTGAAATGCATATAAAATGGCATTTTGTTTCTGATCTGGTTGTAAAAGTCATCCACGTTTGTTGTAGGAAACGTGGAACATATAAGGGGTTGTGAAATCGGAAAGTAAGTATGCATAACCCCATCACACAGACACGCTCTGCCAGCTCGTAAGAGTGGGACCCTGTCCAATGACATAATCTCACTACCTGGAATAGGGCCTCGTGCATAATAAGTGTTTCATAAACATTTGATGAATGGATAATGTTACTATTTTGGTGTATTTATTTTTAGTCCTTTCCTTCTGCCTATGTTACATGATTATTGTGAGACTATTGGCAGGCAGCTGGTCCCTTCCCTCTGCCACGGAGCCAGTCTCTGAACTAGCTGGAGGCTCCGGCAACCTGCTTTGACCCAGCAAGTGCCAAACTCGGATAGTCGTGTAGACTCTATGTGCTTTGCTCTGGCGTGGCTGTGGTGGGAGCTGGCTCCCTGGAGGGCTAGTGCAGGGAAGAACGGACATGTACTACCACCAACTGAAGGTGGGATCCAAGAGGCGATTTTCTATTCATAGCATCTTTTTTTTTTTAAATTACTTACCATGATAATACAAGCATATGTATATTACAAAAATTCTTTATAAACATGATTTTTAAAGATGATTCATGTTTGTATATACCTCGCTTACTTATTTATCTTCATCTTTTTAGAGATTTGGGGGAAAATCCACATTTCAAAGGTACTTTGCAAATAAGGCTGCACTTTAGACGAGAAGACGTATTGGCTGTTTTACTAGGTTTCTTTATGTTCAGTGAACCCAAAAGAGCTACTGAAGTCACATTTAATTATTTACTTGCATGGTGTCCCTGGAGAGCATGGAGAAGTGGGAATAATACCAGAGGACATGGCCTCAGGGACTATTGTAATTAAGAAGTATCTTTGGCTATTATATTGAATGAAGCAGTTGATCCAAAGAACTAGTCATGATGCTAAATCCTAGAAATATAGTCTTAAAAATTCAAATGAATTAAGCCCCCTTCCATAGAATTCCTGCTCTGTTTCCATTTGGAGACTCTCAGGGGAGGCTGGTTGAAGATAGTTTTGTTCAGGTTAATATAGCACCACCTACTGCTGAGAAGGAAAATGAGTGCTATGGGAAGATGAGCCCTGGTTTTAAACCCTGATTTGGTCAAGAAAGAAAAGGAAAGGGATATGTGGTTTCTTGCAGGATCCTCTTGGGTCAGAACTAGATAAAATTGTAAACACAAAAAGGGCTGGGAGTGGACTTCTGGCTCCAGATGGCTCCAGAGTACCTTCTATTCATTCCCCCGCCTCTTAGAATTTCTACCAAAAAAGTCTATTTCTACCAAAATTCAAAGAATATATAGACTTATAAGGAGAAGTGCATGGGGAGAACAAGAAGCTGTGGGAAGAGGCCAACCACATTCTGGAACCTCTGAGAACTTCGTGCATGACACAGTGCAGGTGACTCTGGATTGAGGGCAGGGCTGATTCGCCTGCCGCTGACCACGCGGGGAGTGAGTGGGGCAGATATCAGAAGGCCCCTCCCCCTCCCCCAGAACCCGCCCGCTCACAGTGCCAGGGGCTGGGGCGGAGGGTGCATTGTTGGGTGCAAAGCGGCAGGCAGCAGTAGATCATCCTTCCATCCTGGGAAGCGGGCCAGGTGCTCTAGTCCACACACACACACACACACACACACACACACACACACCCTGGACCCATGACATTAACCAGGCGCTGACAAGGCTGGCTTTGAACAAAGGCGGGCCTCTCAGTTAGAAGAGTGCGGCAGGTGCCCCTAACAGACCTCTACCGCGGAACACTTAGATCCCAGGTAGCCTCCAAACTGACAATAGTTTCTAGGTCTGATGACAAATACCCAAAGACTCTGCACTCAGCAAATAATTTAAGTGTGACAACCACAAAATAACATTCTCAGACATGCAAATATTCAGAGAACTTTCCATCTGCATAACTTTCTTGAGAGAAAACACACACACACGCATACACACTCAAGGATGATGGTAGTGAGGAATGCACCAACATAATTCAAGAATTAGTTCAAGATCATTGCGGGTAATAAAGTTAGATAAAAACAGTTCTAGGAAGAGAAATAAAATAATTAATACCATTATCTTCATTATTGACCTTCTTCCCTCTGTCCTTCCGTCCTCCGTCCCTAAAACCCCCAAGTCATATGTTTTCTGTTCCATTGTTCACCCTGACAGAGAAATGAGTCCAAGTATACTGTTTAACATATTGCTTTATAAACTCAGCACCGTGGGAGAGTGCTCCAAATTATTAGTGTAAAAAAAGAGCCAGGAAAATGTGAACAATATGGCAAAAGGTAGAAGAAAACGAAGAGAACCATAACCAAATATAACTTGAGAATGCTGGTTTTTAAGGCCCTAAATTAAATCTTCAGAGATGGAAATCAGCAATATAATAAAATCATAATACTCTCAAGAATGCAAGGATGGTTCAATATTAAGACACCTATTCATGTAGCATTCATTCCACAGAAGTTTCTTTTTTTTTTTTTTTATTCCACAGAAGTTTCTAAGTGCTTCCTACGCACAGAACGGGGGAACTGACTGACACGAAACACGTCTCCATGGCTTCCCGTTCAGGGAGGTCTTTCCTCCATTGGTCTATCTCTGTCATCACTGATCACTTGCACTTGTTTTCTTATTTGCTGAGGGCCTTCCTCCACTAGAACAGCATTGTTCCAACATCGGTGTCTTATCCGGCTTGTTTGCATCTGTTTCCCCAGCACCTGACAAAGAATCAGAGACCTATTGGCTGACATGGTTATTTGGCATCTGTTGCCTTAGATCAGTATCTACACAGTATATTCACTCAATTTTTATTAAATAGGCGACTCTATCTATAAATGAACGGATGACGGTGATTCTAAATCTCTGCCTTTATAGAGCCTATAATCTACTGGTGGAGACAGACAATCCAACCAGAACTTCCATGGTCCGTGCCCAAACCTCCGCTGTCTACGCATGTTTTTCTGTTCTAACTGACTTGCTGAATAAAAGGTGGGAACTGTTTTGCAGGAAGCTTCCACAACTTCTTCCCGAGAAAGGTCTGGAAAAGTAGAAGTGCAAAGTAGTACCTTCCTGCTTCCCAAAGCCTGTCATCAAAGGACACGCAGCAATTCAACCAGTAAGTGCGTCATGGAACTGTCCTCAGGAATGAAGCCTCGCTGTCGCTGAGGACCAGGAATATCAGTGATGTGGAGAGATCTGGGGGGAGGGTGGGTCTCGGCTGGTTCAGTTGGATTAAACATGGCTGCGGTCTGCTCGCCTCTCTGGGAGAGTTTGTCATGGTGCTTCTGTGTCCATGGCACTTAAGTTGCCATGTTGGGAAGAGCCGACATAGGGGATAAAAGGCAAGGGCTTTCCTCCTGCTCTGTCTTCTGATGTGCTTCTTGATTTTAGGAAGGCTACTGGCTCTCCCAAGGTCTCCATCACCTCATCTGTCACCGGATGGGAGTGGAGGCTGAAGGATGTTAGGATTCCTGGTTGCTGCAAAGAGAATAGCCCTACTCCAAAGTCAGGGCATTTGAAGAATGCAGAAAAGCATGAAGAGATTAAAACCACAGCGCATGCTGATATTAGAAATAATCTATGTTAACCTTTTCCGTTCTTCCCCCCCATGCCTCTACATGCCCATGGAGCACGGGTCCATGCACGCGCGCGCACACGGCACAACTTCATGTCCTTGGAAATTCTTATGTAAACACCATGCTCAGTGGGTGCCTCGTATTTCATTATGTGAATGTGCCTAACCTAGTTAACCAACTCCCTAGTATTAGATAACCAATTTATTCTCTGTTTTGCACTAAGATAATCAGCATTGTTAAGTTTGTCCATGAAATTTTGCTTACGTTTGTGATGATTTTCTTAGGGAAACATAAGGGGCCATGGATGGGAGCATGGTTAGGAGTGCACACTTGCTTCCAGAACTAATGATCCACGCAACCTTGGGCAAGTGCCTTCAACTCCGTCACATATTACTCAGCCGTAGGATGCACTCTCTAAACCATGATTTGCCAAGCTCATTTACTATTTTGGGACTGCTAGTTGCTTTTTTTTTTTTATCATAAGTTTTTGCTTATTTCCCCCTTTAGAATAATTTCCTAGAAATGGAGTTTCAAAAGGCAACTACGCCTTAGATTTTGATCTGTGCTGCCAAATTTAAGTAGCTAAGACTCCAATAATGTGTATGAGTACCTTTCTTTGATCATAGCCCACACCGTATTAAAATTTAACAGTATGTATTTGCTGCAGATTTTTCTCTATTCCCCTCTTCTCCAACCCCCCCAACTTTTTTCTGGTCCTCTTCATGCCCAGGACCGGCTACACGAGTTGCGGGAATCTGTGTAAGATGAAAGTGTGGGAACCTTGTTCAAATATTATTAAGAATTTCAAAATGGAGGCGGTGGGGCATTAAAACCCAAGCCTAGGCCCCTCTAAGTGTGGGGTTCTGTGCGACTTCACAGGTGCATGCCCACGAAGCCAGCCTTGCTTGTGCCCTGGACACCGAGCAGACCCTGGCCCCCTGGCCTCCTGGCCCCTGGCCCTCTGGTTTCCCGTGGAGCACCACCAGGAGACTGGAGGTTGGAGGAGAAGCTGCCGGAGCATTTCTCCCCCGTTTCCTCTGCCTCCGTGCTGTGGTCCTGGCAGGCTGTGTCTGGCTGGGACTAGACGCCAGGTCAGGGTGGCCCGCCTTCCATGGATCCAGCACCCACTGGGCTCTGGGAAGGCACCTGCCAGTTCCTGGGTACCTGGATGGCTTCGCTGTTTTCCTAAACCCTGTCCACTCTTTGTACACGGCCCTTCATTCGTTCCTCTCAGGGGCCTCGTGGGCTCGCACTTGACTGGTTCGCTGGCCCCGAAAACCAGCCTCTTCACACAGCTGCCCTCAACGTTCCTTCATTTATCCCTTTCTTTTTGGGGGGAGTCCACCTATTTTTCTCTTGGGGTGATCAGTTTTAGCATTAATTTATAAAAAGCCTCTTAGTTACATTAATATTTGGCTGTCATATTTGTGGGATGTACTTTCTTCAGTTTATTGTCTTTCTTCGGTTTGTCTTTCTTTTAAGTCTTTTTTTAACATAAAGATAAGAATATCTTTATATAATTAAACCTATAGATTTTTTTTTCCTTCCTAATAATGTTAAAGTTTCTTCCACATCCAGAGAACAATTAAATATTTGGCTATGTTTCTTTCTAATTTTTAAACAATTTGCCTTTTTTTTTTTTTTTTTAAAGCCTACTATATCCATCATTAATGTTTGCTGTTTGGTGTGAAATAAGAATCTAAACGTGTTTTTAAGTTGGGTCCAGCATGGCTTACTGGTGGTCAGTTTCTGCCCGCCTTTCGTTGTACTCTTTCTGTTTGTTTGATTTATCTCTTGCAAATGATGTGCGGTTAGATCTTGAAAGCAAACGTGGCCATCTTTTTAAGGAGAGACGTCCAGGCCATTGGTGTTAGTTTTACAAATAATATTTGGTTTCAGTTTCCTGCTTTTTGTACTTTGTTATTATCACTTGTTTGTTCCTTGCTTCTTGCTCTGGGTGTGTGCCTAACTTTTGCAGCGATTTGGAAAGTGTATCCAATTTTTATCCCCACTTCTGGTTTCCTTTACGTGTCGTTAATTAATTAATCAGTTGGGTTTCATTAATTAAGGAATACCTGAGGCTCTATTTTCCAAGTTGCCCCCGCCTTTGGAAAATGGTGTTCTTCACCCCTCATCTCTTTCCCAGTTTATTTTTCCATTCCGTAATTCAACTTCACCGTAACTTGCAAAGTCATATTACTATTGTACAATCATCACAGTATACAGTTTCCCTTTCAAGAGTTACTTGACCACATTTTCAATGAACTCAATCAATGCTGTATGTTTAACTTGCGATGGTAATCTTGATCTGTTTCCTTGTGGCGGGAGGGCGTCCACGAGCCATTTGCAGACCAGTCTGTGCTTAGGCGACCCGCTCTGTCCGGACCCCGGGGCCTGGGTCCATGCTGACCCAGCTCCGTGGTGGGAGTGGGAACTGCCCTCGGGCTGCCTGGTGGCAGGGGGATGGGGGGCAGAGGTGGGGCTGGAGTGGCCTGGGCTGTCCCCCTGCGCCTGCCCGTGGCTTTGGGGTGGCTCTGAGGGTGTTCTCAGCGGACATTTGCGTGTTGAGAGCGCACGTGACTTCTTCCGTTTCTCCTCTTGCGCTTTAGGTGTTAATCCCTGCTGCACCGGAGATACCGATTTCCCGATGATCAAGAAATCTGCAGTTTGCACAGACCGGCAGCCCTACTCCCTCTGCAGCAGCCGGAAGTCTCTCTCTCAACAGCTCGACTGTCCAGCAGGAAGGGCTGCTGTAAGAATGGAGGGGAGAAGGAGGGCGGGCAGGGGCCCGGACTCACCAGCGGCGGTGGGGGGCCTGGCTAGTGGGTTTGTGTCCGTGCAACTACCGAGGGGGGGCTGGCCAGTGGGAGTGGTCGGCCAAGAAAGAACCCCACAGCCGACGGTCACCGTTGAGCGCCCCCGCGTGCGGCACGTCTATGCTATTAGGAGCTGAGGTGCAGTGAGCATTCCCTTGAGCAGACCCCGAGCTCCGGCTTTATTCTACCTGCATCCTGACTCTAGGGGGTAGACAGTGAACCGGGGCTGGGACAGGTGAGGGATGCACGCACGTGCACACGGCCAGTAGCAGACAGCCCTGGGGCTTGAAGTCGGACCTTCAGGACTCCACAACCTGGGCTCTTAATCCTGTGCTATGATGATGTGCTTTACACATAGCGCCCCTAATTCATAAGCTCAGAAATGAATGTACTATTTGCCCCGTTTTAGAGTGAAGAAACAGGAGCTTGGCCAGGTGAGTAGCTGTCTGAGTTCACACACCTTAAAACTTAAAGGACCAGGCAGAATTTGAGCCCAGCCCCGTGCGCTGCACACTGTGTGTCCTTCCCGCTACGGGCATCAGTTGGCAGGTTGGGGGCTCAGCAGACACGAAGCTCGGTGTCCCCAGCCTCCTCCTGACACTTCCCTAAGCCCCGGGGGGTGTAAGCCGAGTGCCTCAGGCTGCCACCACCACACCCTGCACCCCTGTCTGCAGCACCTTATCCCTCTTTGTCTCCTCTCTAGCTCTGGAAAGCCTCCCCCGTCCTTCAGACCCCTGCCTAACACTACCTCTCCTGGGAGCGCTCCTGACCCACCAGCTGCGTGGGCCTTACACTTTTCCCAGCGCCCATCCTGGGCGCCTGTCCTCATACAGCCCTCACCCCAGCAGAGCATGAGCGCTCCAAGGGAGGGCTCCGTAGGCAAGTGATGTTTGATTCTCCCTGCAGGGTACTCAGTAGTCCAGTAGATGCCTGCAAGTTTCATTTCCCTCTTCCCTTCCTTTCGTGGACTTAGTATGTCTCTCATGCGCAAACTGGGAGCATCGGGGTCCCAGGGTTAGGAAAAAGATGACACTCAAAGTGGCAGATGATTTTAACATAAGAAGAAACAGGCAGAGAATAGTTAAGTCACTTCCTCAAGGTCACCAGCTGGTCCTTGGCAGAGCCAGGGAAAGAACCCAAGGCAGCGGGGCTCAAGTCTCAGCTCTGACCCATAATCCAAGCTCTGTTGTCCCCTCCCAAGTGGCTTCCTGTGGCACACGGGGTGTCTGTCTCTCTGGCACATTCTGCTTCTCCGGTGCAAGTCACCCATCTTGCCTCCCTGCAATTTATGTTCTGCGTTTTAAAATCTCCATGTTCCTTGCCCCCCACTCCATGCCTGGCGCAAGGAGGGCTCTCAGCACGTGTGTCTTGAATCGGACACAGTCTGCTGAGGGCATTCTGGGTGGCTGGGGTCCCCACCTCTGTTTGAGACTTTGGCTGTAGGACTCACTGCCCCGGGGCAGCGTGATCTGGGATGCACTCCGCACCTGCCATCGGGTCAGGCCTCAGGGGGCTGTCAGATGCTGGTCTGCAGGGAGATAGGACTCAGCAAGGCTGAAACCACCCAGTCCATCTCCACCAAACTCCCACCATGCCTCATCAACCACGCACGGGGGTCATGCCGTGGGCTCCCCCCCAGGAGAGGGGATCCGGGCTCTCCCCCTGCCCCTGAGGTGTGTGCTGCTGCAGTCCTGTCAGCTCACCCCTCCCCACCCTGCCTCCCTCCTGCAGGGCACCTCGAGACCCACACGGTCGCTCAGCACGGCTCAGCTCGCGCAGCCCTCGGGAGGCCTCCAGGCTTCCGTCATTTCCAACGTCGTGCTGATGAAGGGCCAGGCCAAGGTAAGCAAGGGCCATTGCCAGCAGAAACTGCTGGATGGACCTCAGTCCCCGAGGAGCTGTCCTGTCCAGGGAAGGAAGGAGCGAGGCCTGATGATGCCAGCTGCTCGTGTGAGCGTCGCCAAGTCCCCGGGGAGGCTCGGGGAGGGCCTCCAGGCCTGCCTCACCCGTGCAGGTCACCGCGGGGCAACTGTCAGCCAACTTGTTCTCGGCATGATATTTCCTAGAAGTGAGTCTCACCGGGTGATTAAATTCAAATCCTTTAAGTAGCGTGTTTGTCCATTCAAGCTGCTATCACAAAAACACGGACGAGATGGCTTAACTAGCACCTTCTCACTGTCGTGGAGCCTGGAAGTCCATGGTTAAGGTGGTGGCAGATTTGGTGTCTGTTGAGGACAACCTTCCTGATGGGTGGACGGGGCCTTCTGTCCGTGTGGGCACTGGGCATGGGGCGAGGGGCGAGGGAGCGCCCTTGGATCTCCTCCATAAGGACACCCATCTGTTCGCGAGGGCTCCACCCTGTGACCTGCTCCCTCCCAAAGGCTCCAGCTCGCGCACGAAGTTTGGGGAGGACACAGATGTTCAGTCCACGTGTCTCCACCCACTTTGTATATTCACACTGATCTCTGCCGCACAACTGAGAAATCCCGAAAGGAGGGGCAAGGCTGAAGTGGTGGAGGCACATCCCAAATGTCTCTGTGTGCTCCCTCCAGAACATTCTGGAAAAGACACGGGCAGTTGTTGCAAAGTTCACAGATGAGCCCAAGTAACCCCGATGCTTAAATAATGGAATAGTGGGTTTTTGGTTTTGGGTTTTAAATCCCCCTACTATAACTTGGGCGTGTAGTGTGAGGGGAAGATGCTCCCTGCTGGTTGCTTCCTTTCTGGCCAGGGGAGGGGCCTGATGCACGCCTGGGTCCTCTCTCCCCTCCCCTCCTCCTCCCCTCCCCTCCCGGGAGCTCAGCAGAGACATGAATGAGGAGACCCTGTTGCTCCTCTCATCACAAGACAACCCCTCTCCACACTGACTTTGCTCCTAACAGCCTGGCTTTCTGACTAGTTAATCACAATGCTGGGATTTAGGTAGAGGTATTTAAAAAATAGTTGGCTTTTAAAATCGCTTGCAATGCTCAGAAGAAAGCAAAGGGCGCCAAAGCTCATGCAAAGAGGACTGGAAATGGTTTAATTGAACTCTGTGTCTGTACGTTCACTAAATCACATGTTACCACACATGTAGTCACAGGGCTGACCGAGCCGGCCTGCAGGGGCCGGGGGACCGAGCCAGGTGCAGGGTGTTGGGTGCAGGGAGCCTGGATGCCCGGCAGGGTGGTGCGTTCAGACGCAAGCAGGCATCCCACTGTCCGCCTCACACAACCTGTGCCCTGAAGGAAGGCCCCATGGTCAAGGATGGCAAGTAGGAGCGGGGCCAGGGCTGAGTTCGGGAGGAGGAAGCAGAGCTAGAGGCTCCATGAGTGCTTGAGCTAGAGTCACAGGCAAATCTCTGGGCAACAAGGCAGCTATGGAAACCCAGGCACTGTGCTAAGGGCTTGGCAAGGATGCCTCTTCCGACTGTGGTGACGGCCCTGGGGTCACCTCCCTTTGCCCGCCCAGGACACTGAGGGTCTGGGAGGACACAGGACTTGCTCAGGGTCACTTGGTTAGTTAGCAGCCAGACTAAGACAGTGACCCAAGACTTCCCGACTCCCAGGCCTCGTTCTAACCGGGGCGCTGTGCCGCTTCACCGGGGCGGGGGGGCGGACTTGGAGTCTGCAGGAGTTACCGCAGCCCGGTGAAGCTGGGGTCCACGGAGGGGCCCAGAAGCCACGCCTCCCTGTCATTCTTCCTAGCCCTGTGCCAGCCTCGGATACCATTTGTCTCTCCTACCCTGGAACACGCACCCTCACCAGAAGCCTAGAACAGTACCACGTCCGCAGGGCTTCCCTGCCTGGTTCCCTACGGCATCTGCGGATGGGTGCCAGGCCGGCCGTGGCTCTGGCACGGGGGTGATGCCCCTGAGCAGCGATGCTCTTACAATGGTGGCCATGCCCGCGGGGTCCGTCCAGAAGCCAAGCTGTGAACCCCTGCCCGGCACGCCTGCAAGCTGGACCCAAAGACCCAGCTGCCCCCTGGCACGTGTCTTGGCTCCATGACGCACGTCACCTGAGCACCTGCCAGAGGCCGGGTACTGGCACACCGGATTTGTTCACTGACTTCAGGGAGGTGAGAGTCTAGAAGGAAGCCCATCGAGACCCCAGCTAAGCCTTCCTGGGAAGCGGGGAGCTCCTCGGTCACCGACAAACCAAGCCAGCATGTGTGAATTTCCTCTTCCGGTGCAGACGTCACTCACTCACACCTTTCGCTTGCTCATCTGCCTCTGGTTTTGTCTCTGCTGCCATTGGGACTGTCTCCCGCCCTTGAGCTCCAACCAGACCACGGGCCTGCGCTGCGAGCTCCTGGGGCATTTGTCGGCTCATGACCCAGTAGAGGGAGCTCAGGGTCACAGCGATGTCTTTAACAGGGGGAGGGTGGGGTGCAAAACAGAAGGGAAATGAACAGCCCTTGGCAGGAGAAGGGGGGCTTCCTCCAGTGCAAGCTGCCGTACTTATTCCCGCAGGCTTTTGTTGTTTGGGATCTCCTTGAATTTTCAAACACAACCCTGTGAGTTAGGTTTTGAGCATCATTTTACAAGGGGCTAACCCGGGGCTCGGAGACAGAATCGCCAGCAAGAGGGGCTGAGCCAGGGCTCAGCGTCATCCGGGGTTCTCGGGCCACATCCCTGGTTCTGTGTCAGGACATCAGACCCACCGGAGAGCTCCCGACCCCATGCAGCCCAGTCTGGCCCTGAAGTCCTGGTTTTCCCCATTCTTTTGTGAAGTCCAGAAGCGGGTGAGACCAAGGGCACCTGTCTCCTCCCCGGGGCCTTGGCTCAGGGCTGGGGCAGGCTCTTGGCAAACTTCAGCCCAGGGAATAGCGTGGACCACTGCTAACGCTGCCTCTCTCCTCTTCTCCCCCCAGGGCCTGGGCTTCAGCATCGTTGGGGGAAAGGACAGCATTTATGGCCCCATCGGAATTTACGTCAAAACTATCTTTGCGGGGGGAGCAGCAGCAGCCGACGGAAGGCTGCAGGAAGGTAGATCTCCCGTGTCTCACTGGCTGAGGTTTGAGGATTCAGACAGAATCGCTAGGCCATAGAAGAGAGTGGACAGCAAAATGCATCCCCCATCCCTGCCAGCACCGTGGTGACAGGCACTTTGCTGGGGGTGTTTCCACTCAGTCCAGGTCCTGTAGCTGGCCCGGGATGGAGGCCTGAGCTGTCTGCGTCCCTTCCCTTCTTTTCCAAGGGTCCCTCCCTGTTGCTGATGCCCCTGCCACCCCATACCTTCCCTCCTGCCCTCCTTGACCCGCAACCACAGGGAAACCAGGCCCTGTACTTCTAATGCGTCTGAGCAACATTCTCTGTGAGGCCACTGTGCTCTCGGCTCTAGGAATAGAGAGAATGATCAGGTATGATCTCTCTTTTGAGGAGCTCACAGTCCACCAGCTCCTGGGGCCAGGAGAAGCCCCTGCATCCTGAGGGTTAAGGGGCCTGGGGAGCAGAGCTGCCTCCTGAGAGCCCTTCCTGTCTTCCTATCCTGGAGGGCTGGGGTTTTCTCCCCACCCCGATGGCCCCCCAAAGTCACTTTTGGAGTGTTGGACGACAGGCTTGGCCCGAGGACATTCCCAAATTTCAACCAGGGGGAGAAATTCAGGGGCAGGCAGCCCCCGAGCCGAGGGCAGCCCCTGCAGGCTAGACACTGGGTTCCACACGGGATGCTTGAGAGAGGTGATTTCACAGTGTCCCCACCCTTCTCCGCCAGGCCAGTTTCTGTATGCTGTGCTGGGAGCCTGACCCCCTTTAAGAACCTAACTTGTTTAGGGCAGGGTTGGTAACCTCCAGCCAAATTCGGCCTGCCAACTATCTTCATGCTGCTCACAAATAAAGAGTAGTTTTCATGCTTCTAAATGGCTGGAAAAAAGTCAAAGGAATCTATGAATCTTTTGTGGCAAGTGAAAACTGCATAAAATTCAAATTTCAGGACCCGCAGAAAAGCTTGGGGAGGATGTAGCCACGTGCACGGCTCCCTCACTTACCCGTGGTCTGAAGCTGCTTTTGTGCTTGTGACGGCTGTCTTGTGTAGTGTGACAGAGGGCCCGTGACCCGCAGAGCTTACCGTATTTACTCTCTGGCCCTTCATAGGACAAGTTTGCTGACACCAGCGTTAGGCAAGATAAGGCGTACGGATTTTACCGAGGGGGCAGTGGGGAGCCTTTGAAGGTTTTTATAATTTGGAAGGGACCAGCTATGGCCAGGTTCTTAGGTGATTTGGGAAACAGGGTGTCGGATGAAGTGGGCTGGCAGGAGACCAGAGGCAGGCAAGGCTCCAGCTCTCCAGGGTCTGCGCTCTCTCTAGGAGGAGGAAGGTGCAGAGGAGACAGCCTCCCTGGAGGCGGGCGTGAAGGGAGGCCAGAGAAAATGCTCCTGGCCTTAGGAAACTTACTCGCAGTAGGACCCGGTGACAGAGGAGGACAAGGAAGGCGAAGGAAGATGCTTTGGTTTCAGCCGCAGCGTGCAGGGCAAGGCATGCAGGCGGCCACTAGGTGGAGTTGTGCTGCAGGCGGGGGAACTGGGCGCCCGCCCCCGGAGGAAGCTGTGCTGAGTGTAGATCTGGGGGTCTGGACCCCTGGAAAATACTTGAGTTATAGAGCAGGTGAAAGAAGGGGGGGAATAAGGGAGGGAGGGGAGGGCGGAGGCACGGTTCTAGGGGAATCGCTCAATCAAGAGGCAGGTAAAGAAGAGGGATCAATGAGACAAAGGGAGAAAAGTGAAATCAGAATCTTGAGAATGTGCCAGTGTTTGATGATGTTTTTGTACTTTTCTGTGTTTAAATAAAGGGTGGGGGAGGAGTTGAGATGGCAAGGAAAAGGGTACTGTGTTCTGTGTTCTTTACAGAATGCAAGCCTCCTTGAGTCAAGCTTCTTTATCCCTCCTATTTGTCTTGCTTCGTTAATAGCGATCATAAAAATTCAGCGGGAAAGACATTCAGCTAGTCTACCTAAAGTCCCTGATTCTAGCCTCAAATGATTGACCATATCACCTGTTGTATCGCTTTCAAAGTCAAGTTTTAGAATCTGCCCTTGAGTTCATGAGGTACATCCGGTTGCAACAAAATTTTGGCTCACAGATCAAGGCTGACGATGTTTTATTTGCATAACCCTTCCCCAAAAAATGATTGTGTAAGATTTATTTGGCAAAACTGAGGTTAATCACTTTCCACCAGATATGGCCAAAGAAGGGCCAGGACTCTCCAAAGAGCCCAGAGTTGGGCTATGTAGTTCTGTTAGGGTTGACAAGAGAGTCCAGCCCATCATGTCATTAAGAATGGTCATTTCTCAAGAAATAAACCCCTATGTTCACTGCAGCATTATTTACAATAGCCAAGATAAGGAAGCAACCCAGTGTCAATCGATGGATAGATGGATAAAAATATGGCGCATATACATATAATGGACTATTACTCAGCCATAAAAAATAATGAAATCTTCCCATTTGTGACAATGTAGATGGACCTAGAGGGTATTATTCTAAGTGAAATAAGTCAGACAGAGAAAGGCAAATACCATAGGATTTCACGCATATGTGGAATCTGAACAACAAAACAAATGAGCAAGCACACAAACGTCAACAACAAAAACAGAAACTGACTTGACTTCAGAAAGCAAACTGGGGTTGCCAGAGGAGAAGGGGGAGTGAAGTAGGCGTTGGGGATCAAGAGTTACAAACTTCCAGTTGTAAAATAAAGAAGTCATGGGGACGAAAATACAGCATAGGGAACACAGTCAATGATATTGTCATGACTTTGGGCCGTGACAGATGGCGACCCCACTTATCTTGGTGAGCAGTTTGTAATGTATATAATTGTCCAGTCCTTATGATGCACACCTAAAACGGATCTCTCAACTGTGCTTCAATTTAAAAACATAAGTAGAGGAAGGCATTTAACTGATGGTGCACCCAGAGCTTCATTGAGGCTCACCTCTTTTAATCAATCAATCAATCAATCAATCTCTTGTCCATGATAGAAAAAAAAGAATGGTCATTCCTGAAATATGTTCTTTGTCTATTCTTCCTTCAGACGTATTAGTTATATACTGATTATTTTTTAAATTTGTCTGTTTCTACTCCGCTTGGACTCTCCTAAGTATAAGGATGAGTTCTTTCAGTTTGGGTCTAATTCTGGCAGCTTCACAGATGACGCTGATTTGAATCCTCTGTCCAGCCCACTTGCACCCTTTATTTTCAACACATAGATGTGTTGGATAAAGCAGCTCATCTAAACTTTGAATTGAAGTATGGCAGACTTAGGAGTTGATGACGTAGGGGCCCGTGGAGCTGGTGCCCATAGGACCAGGATTTAGCTGCCCACACAGGACAGGAGACGTGGCTTTGGGTCCCTGGGAACCTCTGAGAACCTGCATGAAGCCTTGATACTACAGAGCTGCCCTATGAGAAGCCATCGGGCCCCAGGGAAGCAGTGAGGAAACCTCAATTTGCCCATGGTTCTTGGGTGTGAGGAAAAGACGTCTCCCCACAGGCAAAGGAAGACCCAAGCCTGTATCATGTACATGTGTCCTGGGCACATTCATATCCCTACTGACTACAGGATGCCCCAAGCTGAGACCCTAACCTCAACACTAGTCCTGAAGCAGTGAAAGCCTTGGGCTGGCCCCTGGAGATAAAGGAAATGCTCCTGCCCAGCAGCTTGGGGTTTTCGGGAATCCCTGAGAAAAACCGGCCCCAGAAAAAGGAGTTCGACACAAAGACCCCCCAGGAAGTGGGGAAACATCCCTTATTAGTGAGCATCAGTGGGAAGGACAGACAGGAGGATTAGCCTGCAAAAACCCAAGATCACAGAACAATCTAAAAGACACTGTAGAATTACTATTTTTTGTTATGCATTTTTAATTTCTTTTTAAATTTTAATTCCAGTTAACACAAAGTGTTGCATTAGTTTCAGGCGTACGATAGAGCGATTCAACACTTCCATGCTTCACCGGGTGCTCCTCACCCCTCCGTCACCCCTTCATCCCCACCACCTGTCTCTCCCTACCCCCCACCCACCTCCCTGCTCGTGACCAGCAGTGTACTCTCTACAGTTAAGAGTCTGTTTCTTGGTTCGTCTCTTTTTCTCCTTATTTATTTTGTTTCCTAAATTTCACATATGAGTGAAATCATATAGTATTTCCGTTCTCGGACTGACTTATTTCACTTAAGCATCATACTCTCTAGCTCCATTCGTGTTGTTGCAAATGGCAGGATTTCATTCTTCTTATAGCTGAGTAATATTCCATTGTGTGTATATACACCACCTCTTCTTCATCCATCCATCAGTCCGTGGACATCTGGGCTCCTTCCATAATTTGGCTGTTGTAGGTAGTGATGTTGAATAAACACAGAGGTGCATGTATCCCTTTTGCATTTGTATCTTTGTATTTCTTAGAATTGCTATGTTTAAAGAGATCTTTGAAAAGGTAAAAGAGGGAACAGGAACAACAACAACAACAACAAAGAACAGAACACGGTGGAAAAAATCCTGTAGGGAGCAAAAGGCAAGTCATCGAAATAAGAAGCTCAGCGTCCAGCTCACACCGCAGATGAAACACCGCTGGAAGTAGAGTCGGGGAGCTGGACATTGTCCAGCGGGCCGCCCAGAGCGATGGAGAACAGGGTGAGCGTCAGAGAAACATGGAGGCTGAGCAGGACCCGAAGGACGACGAGTTCTAGAAAGGAAGGGCAGCGTGGAAGAAGGGAGACAGGAGAGTGGCTAAGTTTTCCAGAATCATTTTAAGGCATGAAACTTCCATGTGAGGAAGCACCCGAGGACATCACGGTGGGACTTCAGACCGCCAAAGACAAAGGCAGAAGCATTTTTCAAACAACCAGAGAGAAGGGGCGGGTGATCTGCACGGGGCCCAGAGTGAGGTGGCAGCAGACTCACCTGCGAACAACCAGGCCCGAGTCTGCGTGGGGAACTGTCCTCGCATCTGAAATGCCCAGCGCAGCGCTGGGTGCAGAGCGAGTGCTCCTTCTTTGTGTGTTGAATACATTTAGTGCAGGGGAGACATGGGTTTTCCATCCCCGTAAAAGTGGATTTCCGCATACAGAAAAAATGAGTCTATTAGGCATCTCTGGGAGGGAATGGCTTGCAGTAAAAAGGCCGGAGTCACGGGTCAGCACCCACGGGCCGTGCTGTGACAGTTAGTGGAGGACACGGGAAATAAAGGCATCAGGGGCCGTGAGAGAGGCGGGCTAAGGAGGTGGGAGCAGTGCACTGTGGTGACGAAACACGGGGCAGCAAGCTCTGCACGCAGACACGCTGTGGGAAAGGCATCTGGGAATGGGTCCTGGGAACACATGGCCTGAGGGTCAGAGAGGCAGGAGGGCAGAGGCTGAACCGAAGGTGGGCAGGACAGGTCAGGCCGGGCCTTGTGTGCCAGCTGAGGCTGCTGGATCTGCCCCCAAAAGAGAGGAAGGGCCTCAGAAGGCCGGTCACTGCTGCCCACCTGCCCCCCAGGGGGAGAGCCCCGGGCTGGGAAGGTTTTCTCCCGGGCTGTGTGCGTGGACGCCCCTCACCGGGCCACACTCCTCTCTGCTCTCCCGACAGGGGATGAAATTCTGGAACTCAACGGTGAATCGATGGCCGGACTCACACATCAGGATGCTTTGCAGAAGTTCAAGGTGACCCCTTGTTATCAGTACATTGCCAGACTCCAGGGCTTCGGGCAAAGGAACCAAGCATGACCCTCCTTCACTCAAACCTGCAAATTCAAACTGTGGGATCCTTGACATGGGGCACCCCCCTGGAGCGGGTCTGGGCACAGTGTTAAAAAAAAGACCTGGCTCAGAAAATACGAGTGTAATCAGGATTGCGGTAGGGGTGTTTCCACTATTTTAGATTTGTAGAACTGTTTTAAAACGCTCGATGTATTTATGTTGACGTATTTCTAGATCTGTTTGAGGTTTGTAAGGCAACCACGAAAAGATGTTTTTAAGTCTCCATGTAATCAGTTCGAGACTCTATCCATCCAGCACATGTGTGCACACATGCATATGTGTTAATATATGTGATGTGTCATATCTGTACAGAGACATGCAGATGCATGTTGATTATACTGCACATGCATGCACACGTGTGGGCATGCACGCATGTACTCACATACAGGCACATGCACACGTGTGGGCACACACATTGGCACACACAGCTGCTGAGCACTCCAGCACACGATCTCTTCCTTGCAGCAAGCCAAAAAAGGGCTCCTGACGCTCACGGTGAGAACCCGCCTGACGGCCCCCCACTCCCTGAGCAGCCACCTGTCTGCCCCGCTGTGCCGCTCCCTGAGCTCCAGCACTTGTACCACCAAGGACAGCAGCTCCTTCGGCTTGGACAGCCCCATGCCCCCCTCCAGCGCGGCCAAGCCCAACTACAGGGTCATGGTGGAGGTCTCTCTGCAGAAAGGTAGGGTGGCAGCGCCCCTCCTCCGCCGCCCTCCTGCCTGGGCCTCCCACCACCAAGGGGTCCCCGAGACTTTCCTCAGCTGGAGTCAGTCCAAGGACAGGGCAGGGTGCTGTCTGCGAGAAGTTGTGGCCGCTCCTCTGTTTGTCTGCAGAAGCCCAGGACACTCCACGCACCTTCAGTCTAGGTGTTGTGGTGCAGTGGGTACAATAGGACCAAGCAAGGCAAGCACCAGTCTCACACATAACACTGCGCACCGAGGAGCAGGGCTGGGTTCGCAGCAGCAGCTCGTACACTGTGAGATCTGGGGCGGGCGCTCCCCCTCGGGCACCTGCGCTCTTACCTGTGGCAGGAGAACTGAGGTCCTCTGAAGCTCGGTCACAAGCCCCCTGTGCTCTCTCCCGCTCTCCCTGGCAGAGGCTGGCGTGGGTCTGGGGATCGGTCTGTGCAGTGTGCCCTACTTCCAGTGCATCTCCGGCATTTTCGTCCACACGCTCTCTCCTGGATCTGTGGCACATTTGGATGGACGGCTCCGGTATGTCCTTATTTCTGTTGTTGGGGAAAAAAAACCCAAAAACCAAAAAACAAAAACACCCTGATTTACAGCAGAGGGAAGGAATTCCTTAGAAGGCCAGGAGATTCATCTGGAGACGAGATATTTAGAATGACCCAAGGGTGGCTCAGAGCCTTGTTCTTCAGACTGTGGTCCCTGGACCACTGGCATTGAAATCACTTGGCAGTTTGTTAGAAACGCAGAATCTAGGGCTTCTCAGCAAACCTCCTGGAGTGGAATCTGCATCTTAACAAGATCCTCAGGGATCTGTGTGCACGTTGCAGTGCAAGAGGCAGCATGTCAGGGAATTCCAGTCCGAAACAGAAAACACGAAGTGACCACACTTTAATTCTGACTTAACTAATACGGAATTTATAGTGACATCCGTAGGAGCTCCGGTGAGGTTTACCTGTGTACCCTGTATGGGAAAAGAAGCTTACCAAGCCAATCAGTAGTATTCACTCAGTTTCTTGATGGCAAAAACAAAATATTGGCAGGCACTGCAGACTTATTTTGGTACAAAGAACTTCCAGGAGGAGCCCCGAATCTAAATTTTCTTTCCAGTAAGTGATTGGGGTTCGGTAACATTTATCCCAGTCTAACTTGTTGTAATACTTCCAGCTCATGTATCTTCTCTCCCTGGGTTTGGGTTTTGCTACATCAGGAGAGTTTTGCCATATTTTTCAAGGTTTTCCTTCCTACAATTGCAGTGTATGCAAGGACAAGCCATGCTCAGGACAGCGTCTTGATGGTGCTTCGAGTTAGGGATGGATTTGCCGTTGTCACGAGCAGGGCAGTGACGGCTGATTTGCTGAGCTGCTGTGTTCTCGCTTGGGACACAATAAGAGTCCCAGCAACTGCCTTAGCCCTAATCCCTTCAGAGAGAGAGTCCTCCCTCCCAGACCTGCAGCTGGGTTGGGATTGTTCTGCAAGCCTCTGCTTTCCTTGGCATGTGGGGCTACATGGCTGTGGTCTAGACCGCAGTGTGGGGGACAGTGACAGCAGTCCCAGGACCCCTGTGTTCCAATCCCTGCCATGCCGATGATCCGCCAGGCCGGTGCTCAGCAAACTGCGGCCCACCATCTGCTTGTTTTTTTTTTTTTAATAAAGTTTTATTGAAACACAGCCACACTCATTTGTTGACACATTGTGGCCGCTGTTTTCATGCTACAGCATCAGAGTTGGGTGGTTGTGACAGAGAGAGTGTGGCCTGCCAAGCCTAAAATACTTACTGTTTGGCCTCTTTCTGAAAAAGCTTTTTTAGCTCTAAGCTAGGTCTCATGGAGGAGATGATTTCACCCTCTGTGCCTCAGTTTCCCCATCTGTGAGACAAGGAGGTTGGATTGCACCATCCTCTGTGTATGGAAGCATCCCTCTTTTCTACCTCACTTTTGTTTTTTCTGGTTATGTAACAGAACAAATCTGAATTTTCCATAACTCACTTCCTGTCCTGCAATAAGAATGTGCTCCATACCTTCTCTCCTTACTTCTTTTTGCAAGGACTTCAGATGCTCCCCAGTCCAGTTATTTCTTCTTTACCTCTTAGCACACAAAGCGTCCATCTTTCCTCCTAACCATTCTACAGATGGGAACGCTGAAGCCTGACAGTTGTGATTGGTTAAATCATGGTTAATTGATTAATCGCTTAAATTGGTTCACCTACACTGTCAATCTCGATTAGGCGTAGTTTAATGGGAGAAAAGGAGGAGGAAGATTACAGACAAACCTTTGTTCACGTTGCCCCACCCTGGGTATGAAACATCCCCCCCACTGTGGCCGCGCAGTGAGGGGGTGAGCAGGGCACTGCTTTGGTCTGTCCTCCTCTGAGGGTCAGTCAGGTGGCAAAAGAACTCTACTTATTGGTGTAATTTTTAGGTCTCATCGAACAGCCCTGCCAGGAGTGGGACTTCCGGGAAGGGAGCGTCCGAAAGCCACATTGGTTAGCTTGCTGACGGCTTCCTGTGTATGCTTTCACAGGTTCGGTGACGAGATCGTGGAAATCAATGACTCCCCCGTGCGCTGCATGACGCTCAATGAAGTCTACGCGATCCTGAGTCACTGCAGTCCCGGGCCGGTCCCCATCATCGTCAGCCGGCATCCAGACCCACAGGTAACACGCCACCGGGGCATCTTCTTCCACCCAGGCTCACTCTTTCAGGACTCAGCTTTGAACAAGACATAGATGAAAGCAGGTGATGCTGGTTGGGTTTGGACTTGAATTTCCAAGACCCTGTTCCGAGTGTAATAACACGTGTCTGCAGCAGGGGTCCACTGCTGCAAACTCCTAGACACCAGAGGCAACTGGCATGAGCTTAGGGGAGCTCTTGCAGCTGGGTTACAAGCTCGGGGGCAGGAAAATACAGACCCAGCACCCCTGCTAGAGATGCCAGGAATCAGTCAACTCATTCGTGCATCTAGTGGGGACCCGTTATGTGATTGTCCAGCCCTGAGCAGATAGAGCTGAACAAGCCCTTGCACACAGTCCTGCCCTCGGAAGCTCACGGTCTTGCTAGAGACACTGACATAGAAATAATTGCAATACGGAGTGATAAGTATTCTGCGAATAGAGAGATACAGAAAGGAAGGTTGGATCAAGCAAGAAATACCAGAAGTTAGCTTGTTCCAGGCAAAGAATTTGAGGAAGGCCATTCCATGAAGTGGGGACACAAACTTGATTTGTAGAGTCACGAAGGGACCTGTCATAGAAGGAGAGTGGCAGGTTCTCGGGGGGCTGGGATGTGGGTACTGGGTGGAGAGGCCAAGGATCCAGGTGGGCATGACATTGGGGCGACACTACAGTGGGCTTCCCACGGGGTGCTCAGAGTTCACATCGTATTCTGGGAGGTGAGGAGCTAGGGGAGGACTGTGGCTGTAGATGGCATATGTTCAGATTTTATTTTTTAACCACTGATGGTGCAGTGGAGGACGGGGTGGAGGACGGGTTGGGGTGGGTGCAGCCTGGAGTCTGGAAGAGGAAGGAAACAGATGGCAAAGGACCTACACTGCACAGTGGGTGTGAAAAGAGGATGGAGTAGGGGGACGACTCGGGGAGAACTGATCGTACTGTTGGCTGATGAGCCCGGGGCACATGTGGTCTCAGGAGACTGCGGGGTTTTCGGGGTGGAAGCAGCACCAGCAATATAGAGAAGAGAAGGGGGGGCTTGGGAGGGAAGAAATGGTCTCACGTGGGGCATAAAGAGATTGAGGTGCCTGTGGGGTGTCCGTGGGCGGTTCGATTCAGGGCGGATAACGGCTGGTGCGTGGGGCCCAGGTTGGAGTGAGTCTCGGGAGCTGGGGCCGTGGGCGTCGGTGAGGTTCCTTTGGGGAACCTGGTGATACTCACCATCACTATTTATGGAATCCTTGTACGTGCCAGGCATCTTTGCTGAAAGACGTGACATGCACAATTGCGTTTAGTTGTTGAAAAACCCTCTGAGGTCAGCATGATTCTCCCTTCCAAGGCACAGAGTAGGAAACCAAGGCTTAGAAGGGAAAGAGGAACATGGCTCATGGTGGAGCTGGTATGTGAAGAAGCTAGGCTTTAAAGCCTATGCTCTTAACTAACAGACTCCACACTCCCCACGGAAACAGGACAGAGATGGACTCACAGGCCAGATCCGCATGCACCTTGTGTAGTGGGATTCAGACCCAGCTCTCTTCCGCTGTGGAGCACTAAGGATGAGCACTCTAGAGAAAAGCAAACTTTCTACGAAGGCAGACAAGTAATTTGTCTAAACCTCTGGAGATAGAAGAAAAGAAAGCGGCCTCAGTGTCTCTTGCTGCCCTGGGCACCGTGGGGAGAGGGCAGGGGCGTAGGAGTTGGGTGTGGGATCCAGGCTGGGGCCCCTGGCCTTGTGGCCCTTGGTTCTGGCTGGAGGGGTGGGGCACGCCCACAGAGAGGCCGTGAGGGTTGAGGGCCATGGGGTGAGGGAGTCAGGGTCCCCGTGGCCCAGAAGACGGAGCCAGGTCTTGAAAGGACAGCCAGGGCGTGGGGCAAGGGCACTACAGACAGGGGAGTCCAGTGCGCACACGCGGTGGAATGCCTGGTCCTGTCCAGCTCTGCTCCTCCCTCTCGGTGACACCTGGGACATCCATCTAACCTCTCAGAGCCTCTTGTTCCTCAGCCCTGGGATGGGGGAGTGGTCTTGACCTCTGGCAGGACTGCTGCTGATGCTAACTCCCGGCACTGAGAGTTGACCGTTTGCTAGATATTGTGCCCAGCGCTTTAAATGATTTATTATTAATATTATTATTTTTATTGTGGTAAAATACATCCAACATAAATTCGCCATCTTCACCGTCTTAAGTGTACAGTTCGGTGGCGTGAAGGAGATCCTTGTGCCCCAGCTAGCCATCCATCTCCAGATGTCTTTTCGTCTTGTAAAGCTGAAACTCTGTGTCCACTAAACAGCTTGCCGTTTCCCCGTCCTTCCAGCCCCTGGACACCAGCATTCTACTTTCTGCCTCTGTGGTTCTGACGACCTTGTGTACTTCATATAAGTGGAATCATACGGTACTTGTCCTTTTGTGACTGAATTGTTTCACTTAGCAAAATGTCTTCAGGTTTCATCCACGTGGTTGCAGGTGTCAGCCTTTCCTTCCTTGTTAAGGCTGCATGATATCTCATTGTGTGTATGTACCATAGTCTGTTTATCCGCTTATCTGCCAGTGGACACTTTTGGCTATTGTGGATAATGCTGCTATGAACATGGGTGTGCACATATCTACTTGAGTCCCTGCTTTCATCGTCTTTGGGTATGTGTCCAGAAGTGAAATTGCTGGACCATATGATGATTCTATTTTCAATTTTTTGGGGAACTGCCATACTGGTTTCCATAGCAGCAGCACTCACATCCTTAACAACACCTATTGTTTCCTGTTTTTTTTTTTTTTTTTTTGATAGCAGTCATGTTATGGGTGTGAGGTGGTACCTCATTGTGGTTTTGATCTGCATTTCCCCCAATGAGGAGTGATATTGAACTCACCAGCCATTTGTACGCCTCCTTTGGAGAAAAGTCTATTTAAGTCCTTTGCCCATTTTTTAAATGGGCTGTTTGGATTTGTTGTTGTTGTTGAATTATAGGTGTTCTTTATATATTCTGGATCATAATCCTTTATAAGATATACGAATATTTTCTCCCATTCCATGAGTTGCCTTTCACTTGGTTGATTGTGCCTTTTGATGAACAGATCTTAATTTTGACATAGTCAAATTCATCTATTTTTATTGTTGTCTGTACTTTTGGTGTCAAATGGCTTAATTTTTAAAAACCCTCTGACCTCACTGGGAAATAGGTTATATTATTGTTATTGTACAGAAGAAGAAATTGAGGCTCAGGAGGTTAAGTAACTTTCTAAGAGTACACAACTAGAAAGTGGAGCAACTAGGACTTGAACATAAGTCTGTTTGGTTCCAAGAGTCATACTCTTAACTATTAATCTAAGGTGATTAGTGACCTGTGACAGTAAAATGATGATGGGGATGGTGATGATGGTGATGACGACGATGATGGGGATGGTGATGATGGTGATGATGGTGAGGACAATGATGTCGATGATGATCATAATGACAAAGCCCAATGCAAGACATTTCTGCTGTTTTACATGAGCAGGTGACTCGTATTTCCTAGGTGTCTGAACTGCAACTCAAAGAAGCTGTGGCTCAGGCTGTGGAGAACGTCAAGTTTGGAAAGGAGAAGCATCAGTGGAGTCTGGAAGGTAAGGGAGACAGTGAGCTCTGACTTGGATATCTTTGCCTTCTTAGCTTAAGGTTTAGCCATTAACTCGCCTTCGACCTCAGGGACATGAGTGATCATGGACAAGCATGATAAACGTGGACAAAAGTTGAAAGCTAGCAGCCCACCAGCTAAGCTTGGCTCACATTTTCGCTTTGTTTGGGAGGCACAGGATGACAGAAGCATCTGATTTTGAATTTTTTTCAGTGGGCAGGCACTCTCCCCGCTAGCCATGTGCCAGGAGTCCTCGCTGTCCCCTCTTAGACCAGGTTGCCATTTGCACAGGTGCCCCCGTACGCATTTGAAGTTTCAACCCCAAGATCATTATAATACACCCTTTAGAACTAATATTTAATAATATCATATCTAACTTTTATTAAGGTCTTCTAATATCAGACACATGGGCTAATTCATGCATTATTTTACCAGATCTTCACCTATAATTCTTACGCACATTTCTTTTTTAAAAATCAAATTATTTATTTTAGAGAGGAGGAGGGGCAGAGGGGGAGAGAAAGGAACAGGCAGACTCCTCCCTGAGCTCAGACCCCCAAGTAGGGCTGCTCTCACCACTCTGAGATCATGACCTGAGCCAAAAATCAAGAGTTGGATGCTCAACTGAGTGAGCCACGCAGGAGGCCCTTTATGCACATTTAGGCCCCCAAAAGGTGGGGCCCTGAGAGGCTCTCTTACCCATAATTACTCTATGTAGTGCACAGAGCATTTGGACGGGAACCGGGTTAGCTGACTCCAGTGCCTGGGCGTTATTTGCTCCTGCTAGGCATTGGCCACATCATCATGGAGCATATGATAGAACAACGTGCAAATATTGACAAGGAGGCTAAACTGCCTGCAAATGTTCAAAGAAAGGAATGGTCACAAAATTTTATTTCAACCATGTTCTATCATCTCTACCCACTCAACATGCATTTATGCTCAGGAAAATATAACAGAGAAACTCACAAAAATTTGACAGTGGTTATTATCTGCAGCTGATAGGCCTGCAGGTGAATTTTCACTTTCATTTCTTCCTTTTTGCGGCTGAGTTTTTTTCTAATTAGGATGCATTATTTTATGGCCAGGATAAAGCAAAAGCATTTTTTTTTTCTTTAAAGAGGATTTGAACTGTGAGCTTGGCTGATCTTGGTTTTCTCCTAAGGTTAAGGATTCTCTTCCATGGGGCTCTCCTTGCTCTCCTGGCCTTCCAGAATGAGCTGGAATTTGAGCAAGAGGCTGGGACTCAGCCTGTTCCCACTCCTATAACAACTGATTCTAGGAAAGCAACACCTGGAACTGTTTCCACTAGAGGAAAGGGCCTCTCAGGGTTGTGTGGATGGCCCCTGGTGCTGAGAATGGGTGTGTTGGGGGGATGACCCAGGAAGAAAGGCTGGATGGGAGGGAAGAGAAAGGGGGCTCTGGCTAAGAAACTGTGGTTTGGGGGTCTCGATTCATCCTCAGCTGGAAGAAATGGTAGCCTCTTGGTACAGGGCTCTACACACATTCACAGGTGTTTTCTGTCTTTCATACTGAGCCCTGAAACAAGCCCAGTAGCCCTGGAATTATTATCCCCATTTAACATGAGAAAATGGGGTGTTGCTGGCTGGGTTCCCCTGGAAGTCAACTCTGAGACAGTGTTTGGCAGGATGTTACCACGGAAGAGTCCCAGGGATTGGAGCCTGTGGAGGGGAGGGGACCAGAGGCTGGGTAGAGGGAGAGGTGAGCTGATGCACAGCTTCAGCCCTCGCCCCTGGAGTTGGGCAGCTAAGCAGCACATTAGAATTGTCTGGTTGGCAGGAATGGCCCCTCCTTTACGGGCCCCTCATCTCCATTGGTCATTGAAAACGAGCTGCCCCGTGCGTGAGGCAGCTCCCTGTAGGCAGTCCCCGGGGAGGCTGACAGTGGCAGGCACCTGCCACCAGTGCTCCCCACGGGTGGGACAGCAAGCCCTTCCTTGATGAGCAAGTTGGGGAAGCATCCGCGTCTCCATCACATGGAGACTCAGAAAGGCTGAGTGATTTTCCCAAGTGAAAGTCGTACAGTTCGCCCGGGACAAACCCAAGACTGCCAGGCTACAAATCCAAAGGGACCTCAGATAAGAAGCAGACAGCCTGGGGGTGCAGCGTGCAGCCACGAGCCATCAGGAGCACGGTGGCCAAGCCCTCCAAGCTCAGCTGTGGGGGGTGCCCCCTGTGCTTCCATGACAGGTGTTAAAAGGTTGGAGAGTAGCTGGCATGGGCGGCCAACCTTGGAGAAGGAGAGAGAGAAGAACTCAGCACCCCCGCATCGCAGGGCTCAGAAGGTCATGATCCGCTCCAGCAGTGACAGCAGCTACATGTCCGCGTCCCCCGGGGGGAGTCCTGGTAGCGGCTGCAGGCAGCAGTCTTCTGACCTGGAAGTCCCCACCCACAGCCCCAGCCTGTCCCTAGGGCAGGAGCAGACACTTCCCACGGCTCCTTCCGGGCTGCCCCAGGAGAGCCCCCCCCTCCCTGGGACGCAGGACAGCCACCCACCCCTGAAGCTGAAGAAGTCCTTCGAGATTTTGGTGAGAAAGCCCACAGCCTCCAAACCCAAGCCTCCGCCCAGAAAATACTTTAAAAGTGACAGTGACCCTCAGAAGAGTCTGGAAGAGAGAGAGGACCCCCTATGCCCTTCTGGGCACACCTCACCCACATGTGGCCAGGTAAGAGGGGAGTCTGACAGGTTCAATGTTCTCCTGAGCTCCGGAGCCAGGAATCGTGCTTCTGTTGTTATTTGTTAATTTGTTTTTAGCGTGTGCACTGTTGTTCTTGAGCACAAGCGGGATCCTTAGCCATGGGGAAGGAAGGGGTCTCCTGCTCCTTCAGAGGGAAAAGGCTCAGCTCGAGCTTAGGGCCGACCGTGCCAAGACTGGAGGCTTGGCGGGTCCCAAACCGAAGCCCCATTCCCGCTGAGTGGCTTCTGGGCTCCCTTCTAAAATACACTGGGGTTTTCAGCTGCTTTCACAGGGGTCATTCTTCAGGCTGGCCCTGATGGAGCCCCAGCAGAGCTCCCAGAAGGCCATTCTGCAAGGAGCGGGCAGGGGGGCTTCCGCGAGGGGCTGGTTACCCGCTTTCGGAAGTGAGTTAGTCCATGGGATGGTGAGACCTTGGCTTCTGTGTCTTTCCCAACTCTTCTTGCCCAACTCCCACTTCTTTCTAGGTGGAACTTGGGGGGAATCCCAAGTTCTCTGAGCCTCAGTTTCCCCTCCTGCTCGCTGGGGCTGTTTGGAGCCTCCCTGCTCATTGCGTAGAACCACCTATGCCAATAATCCTGGCTGTGATTAGTCTTCCAGCACATCCATGAAAGACCTCGGCTTCCTTCCCCTGCCGCCTGTGCCACCCCCTTAGAAGAAGGTCCACCAACGGCCAGACAGCAGCTGCAGCTTGGGCATCTTTATGCCCAGGCCCTGTGCAGAGCACCACGCGGCCACTGCCCCAGTTCAGCCCTACCCTCCTCCCTCCCCCGGGGGCGAGGCACCCGGTCACGAAGGGTCCCCGAGCTCCAGCTCCCTCCGCCAGTGGCTTGACCGCCAGGCTCCACCGCCTTTCTCAGCCCAGACCCCCCAGCAGCTGCTGTGGCCACGCAGGTGGCAGCAGGGTCCCCGGGACCTTCCCCCAGTGGCCTGGCGTCGGGCTTGACCAAGCAGGAGGGGAAGAAGACCAGAGTGGTGGGGTGGGGAGGTGGGGGGAGGAAGGCGGTGAGTGGGAGGGGGAAGTAGTGGGAGGGGAGGCAGCTAGTGACAAGGAAGCGGGTCCTGCCCAGAGTGCGGATGTGGCTGCTTAGCTGCTGGCCTGATGAGCTCCTGGCTGTGGGTCCCTTCCCCTGCCTCCTGCTTTAAGCCAACGCTGCCTTCCCCTGGAAGGACAAGCAAGGAACAGGCAGGCGGAGAAGCCAGGCTTTTCGCTTTGCTCCTGGACACTCGGGAAAGGAGGAGGGGCTTTGCCAGGGGAGGTCTACTGGCTGCAGGGCTTCCCGGTGATGCCCTGGGGGTCCCTGGCTAGGCCCGGCCATAGACGGGCGCCTGGCTGGAGGGAGAAGCAGGGTTTCTGCAGGAAGGGCTGGCAGGGGGCTTGGGCATGGGCACTTCCTCTGAGCAGCTTTCCCTGGGCTGAGGTCTGCTGTCCGGCCTCCCCCGCGGCCCCTTCTCTGTCCCTCCGCCCGATCCCAGGTGGCCAGCAGGCCCCTCTCAGCAGCACGAGCTGCAAGACCTACTTCTCCTGGGACTGGGAGTCCCAGAGAAAGGACAAAACCAGGAAGCAAGGCTGGACCTCACTCCTCAAGGCTCCTCGACCATTTCTGGGGATTTCTCACTGGAGGTGTCTCTCCTTGGCCTGTCCCTCCCTCTTGTCCTCCCCGCTGCAGCCTTTTCTCTCCAGGACAACCCCCAAATCTTTCCCATCCTGTGACTCCCGGGGATGTCACTTGCACAACCAAAATGACCCTCGGGATATTTCCTTCAACAAAAGACCCGTTCTCTCCCTTCGAGGAAATCAGCTCAGACCATCCCTTGGGCTGGAAACCCTGACTGCCCTGTAAGCCCACACGTCTGTCTTTTCTCCTTTCCCCTCCCTCTCCCTCACTCACGGAGCACTGTGCTGGGGAAGCAGCTCAAAGTAGCTTTCAGAGAAATTTGAGTAAACTTGGATTTATCTCGGGGGCTAATTAAGAAAAAAAAAAAAAAACCCTCCCACAAAGAGGGTATGACATCGGTTTGTTAACGAAACAACAAAACGCATCCGTGTCTGTTCCAAGAGGCAAAGTGGCTTTGATTACTGTGGTTGGTACCAGAGTGTCAGCCTTTAAGAGTGTCAGCAATTCACGGGTGTAGACAAATGTCACCCTACGGAGCTCCCAAGTGAGCAAAGCTGAATTCCAGCCACGTATCATCTTTCCTGTGTGATTAGGGTCTCAGACGCCACCGGCCTAGTATTCCAAGCTCCAAATGCCATGGCCAAGCCTTGCTTCTTCAAAGGACTAGTTCAAGGAGCCCAGTGGTTCCTGAGTTGCTTGGTCTCCCTGTATTTCCCAAGGCTCTCCCCGAGCTCAGGTCTCCAACGGGGACCTTGGGGTGGGGGACAGGGCTCTGTGAACCCATTTCTAGCTCCTGTAGCTCTCTGTCAGAGAATGTTTATTGCCAACGTAGATGTTCATCTCGGGCCACGGACGTCTGCCCTTTCTGTTTTAGTCCCAAGCGATGCATTTATTCCCCCTTCTTTCCTTCCTCTGGGGAGGAAGCCTGCAGCCTTGTGAAACAGGCAGCCTGTCATTCCACCTGCTTCTGGAATGGAAGAACACGGAGGCCACCACTGAGTCACCAGGCATTGCTCCTGCAGATGGGCCAACATGGAAGTGTCCCTGTGATGACACTTCTCCTTCTTGCCTGGCCCGGCGTCATGCTTGTCCCTCTCTCACCGTGTCCCGCTCCCGGAGCGCTCCCTTCTGCTTCTCTGCCTGGGAAATTCGTACTCTTTGCTCAAGAACCAGACAAAAAGCATCTCTCTAGGAAGCCTCGTTCACCCCTCTGCTTCCTTGGGGCCCGGCAGCCTCTTGGTGCTGCCGGATGCAAACTCCAGGCCAGTAGGAGACGGGTGCTTGGGGGTCGGTCCGGCTCCTTCCAAGGCTGTGTCATGAAGGAGCTTGAGACCGCATCCGGGTTCCATGGGGAGAACATGCCTGCCAGGGACTGACCAGGCCATGGCAGGTGCGGCAGAGGGCAGCCAAGGCGCAGGTCCCGAGGGCCTGGCATCCTTGCGGTGTGCTTGTGATGGAGAGCCGTGCGGGAAGGGACTGATTCGCACTCGCCTCCGAGTGTTCTCACCTTATGTTTGCGAAGGCCAGGTGCTGGCTCTCCCCCTCCCCGGGGCAGGGCTTCACCTGGAGGCAGCCGCCCTCCACACCCCAAGCTTCGTGTCCCTGTCACACGGGACCCAGGGCCTTGACGCTTGGCAAGGAGGAGGTGTGTGCAGGACGCGGGCTCCCTGGAAGCCGCGGGGGCCCTCGGGTGTCCGGCGAGCAGGCAGCGCCGGGGAGGAAGGGGCCCCCGTGTGCAGAGCCCCCGGGGAGCCCGTCATGGGAGCAGCTGGGCGCGGGCTCTCCGGTGCCAGCCCATGTGCGCCTGGCCTCTCACGGCTGGAGGCCACCGTTTTCACGTGGCCTCGCTTCCTGTTTACACCACAGGAAGCCGGAGAGCAGCTGCCACCGCCACCACTGCCGCAGGAAGACACGGCGGGGAGAGCCCCCCGCGCCCTTGCCTGTTCCCCAGGGCCTGCGGCGGGCCCGCCGACACCACCCTGCTCGGAGGCCGAGCCTGGGAGGAGAAGAGGCAGCCCAGGTAGGCTTTCAGCTCGGGCTTCCCGAAGGCAGGAAGGAAGGACCTTCTGGGTTAAGGTCCAGGAATGAGGTAAGGATGTGGGTTTGCGCTGAGGACGGAGGGCTGTGCCCGACGAGGGCTGTGCAGGTTGGTGAGCAGGCAGGAGCCCCGAAGTGCCCGGGCGGCAGGACGGGGTGGGGGGCGCTGCCAGGCTGGGGACCACGTGGTCGGACCGGTGATGCCGTGGAGAGGCTCGGTCCGGGCAGTTGGCGGGAGGACGGAGGGGGATGGCATTCCAGCACGCGGCATCCGGCGTGTCCCAGGCTGAGGATGCAGCATCGCGTTCTTGGGTGGGCGCTGTGTCCGTGAGGCTGGCGAATGCTAGCTTCCTGAGGCTCCGTGCTAGGTGCTGGAGGGAAGGAGGGACAGAGGGACAGAGAGGGGCAAACCAGGTCGGGCCATGAAGGAGCTCCCCAGCAGCCGTGGCTACCCACCATATGCCTATTGGAGAAACGCTCCATGAAACGTGCATGTGTGGCTCCCGGAGGGTTGGGGGGGGGGTGTTGTGAGTGGAAACATCTGGCCCATCTCGCCCTGAGCAGGTACCCCATAGCGGTGGGCTCCCTTCCTCCACTCTCCCTGCCCTTAGTCACCCCAGTTGAGGAACACAGCAGAGAATAGCCCGGTGCTCTGCTTGCAAGAGTGCCTCACCCCCGTGTGCCAAGGGCTTGCTGGCAGGACCTCTGACTACGGAGCTTTAGGACAGCCCCTTGCAACAGAGCAACGGATAAATGCAGAAGCGGGCCGAGAGGCCTGGGGCCCCCGGCAAAGCCCCGGAATGCATAGTAACCACACAGTTCTTCCGGATTGTGCAGAGCATCTCCAATACCCTGGAGGCTTAACGCTCTCACGGTTTGCTTCCCTGGAGGCTCCGCACCGAGACGGGGGACAGCAGAGGTCAGTCCTCCTCACGCTGGGCTGCTTCCGGGTTTTAAGCATCCCCCAGAGCACAAATCCAGAGCAGCGTACTCTTCACCAGGGCAAGATCAGACCAGGGGGCCACAGGAGGGTCCGCGTCCACTTGGCGTCTTTGTTGCGTGGGGCTCGGGGGCCGGCCTCGCTCTGTCTCTGGGCAAGAGAGTCTCCCCACCTTTCTAGAGGGGATGCACAGATATGTAAGATGCTGAGCAACGAGAGGGGGGTTAAGAACCGAGGTGACCTGGGGTGCGCCCCGTCTGAAGGCATGCACTTTGACAGTGCTTTTTAATGAGATGGGTGGTTGAAAGCAAAAATGGCCACCAATCTGGGACCTTTGGCTTACAAGTTTTAAAAGGTACAAAAATTACTTCGGTTTTTAAATTTGCAATGACTTATGAGCAGGTTGCTTTAGTGCAGTGGAAAGGACACTAAGAATCAGGAGACGTGGGGTCTTGCCCTGGCTGTGCCAACAGGTGATCCCTTACCTGTGTGAATGTTGGATTTCTCAGTTGTGAAATACCAGAGATTGGCCCAGATATTCTCTGCAGACCCTTCCAGCTCTAAAATGCAGAGAAGCTAAGTCTTGGTTCTGTGGTGCAGAGAATGGTACCAGGGGTGGCGGGGGGGTAGCTGCTCCCCCAACCAGGGCCCAGCACATGGGCTGGTCTCCTCCCCCAGAACGCTCCTTGCTATCTAGCTCTGAAACGAGGACAGGGGTGCAATGCTCAGCTTTGGCCTTGTTTCTGCTCCCCAGGGATTCAAACATCCCCAGTCAAACATCCACTCCTTAAGAGGCAGGCTCGGATGGACTATAGCCTTGATATCACCACTGAAGACCCCTGGGTTAGAATTTCTGACTGCATCAAAAACCTATTTAGTCCCATCATGAGCGAGAACCACGGCCACATGCCTCTGCCACCCAGCGTCGGCCTGGGTGAAGAAGACGGGGTGCGGGGCCACCCGGACGGGACGCCGCCCAAGCCGGATGCCACAGGCGGTGCTCCCAAAGCTTACAAGTCGGTGGACAGCGGCACCGTGAAGAAGGGTCCCCCCGTGGCCCCCAAGCCAGCCTGGTTTCGCCAAAGCTTGAAAAGTTTGAGGACGCGTGCCCCGGAGCCGAGGCGGCTGCCTGATGCGGCCTCCCCGGCCCAGCCGACCCCCGCGTCCCGGGAGCGCCCGGGGCCACCCACTCGGACCTTCTCCTCCTCCATCCAACAGAGGATCAGCTCCTTTGAAACCTTTGGCTCCTCGCAGCTGCCCAACAGAGGGACGCAGAGACTGAGCCTCCAGGCCTCCTGGGGGGAAGCAGCACAGACTCCTGGGGAACAAGCGGGAGGAAAGGTTGCTGGCCTCTCGGGCCGAGGGGCCGCCCCCACCATCCAGTCGCCGCCACCAGAGCAAGAGCACCTGCCGCGGGGCTCGCCCACCTCCTCCAAGACCGGTGAGCCCGGTGTGTCGGGGTACCCTGTGCCAGGACGGCAGTCCAGTCAGAAGAGCCCCGTCCCTGACCCCGACCCTCTCTCGAGGCTGTTGTCCGCACAGACTGAGGAGCCCCAAGGCCCCGTTGTCAAGATGCCGGGTCAGCGGGCGCGGAGCTTCCCCCTGTCCAGGACCCAGTCCTGGGAGATGAAGCTGCTGGATGAGAAGACCAGCAAGCTCTACTCCATCAGCAGCCAAGTGTCATCGGCGGTCATGAAGTCCCTGCTGTGCCTTCCATCTTCCATCTCCTGGGGCCAGACTCCCTGCAGCCCCAAGGAAGGGGGTTCTCCCGCGTTGTTGGCTGGGGACGCCCCAGCTGTGAACAGTTCTGCAGAAGCTCCCGCCTCGGACACAGGCTTCTCGCTCAAGTGAGTGTGCCCAGGATCTCCTTCAGCTTCCTGTCTTCCTGTTCTTTCTCGTCTTTCTTTCATAACCGCGCATCACTTTATTTAAAACAACGTCTCGGGTACCCTAAGGGATTGTTCTACCTGTTCTTTCCTGGGCACGTGCATGTGCATTACACCCTCCGTATGAAGGAGGAGTTTCACAACCCCTGGCCTGGGGGTGGGGAGGCGCTGGTGGTCCCTGGTGGGTGGCCCATGGAGGTTTGGAAAGCGAATGCACATCACACGTGTCCCACTGCTGCTCAGAAAGTTCGGACTGGACACCCCCTGAAGGAATCCACTCATACTCTATATGTGGCTTCCGGCCCCTGGACTGGGCGTTAGGATGTCTAGGACCCAGTCCCAGCTCCGGCGCTGACTCCCTGACCACGAGCAGGTTCCTCAGGCTCAGTTTGCCCTTCAGCTGAGGTTAGGAGGTACGCAGGGCCTGCTCCAAAAAACTGGGTGAGTGGGGCTCCAGTTCCCTGGGGCTCCCACTGTGGGATGAGGTCCTGCCTTGAATGAGAACAACTCTGAGAATTGTTTACCAGCTTTACTCCTTATTCTTAGACTGCTGAGAAAGGTTCGAGACCCATTGACCCTGATGTTTCATGTTCCAGCCCCAGCAGACAGCCTGGGAGGGAACAGGGGTGAGCCTGGAACACACATCTAGAGCAGGGTCTCAAGAGCCAGACCGACCCATGGGTAGCTCCTGGGAGCCGGTCAGATGTAGAGGCGCCCCGTAAAGTTGAGGTTTTCCAGGAGCTGGCTCTCTCTGGCTGAGAAGCGATTCTCCAGTCGGAACTGCGAGGCTCACCATCAGAATGTACTCTGCCGCGGGATCTCTTCACCTGCTGGTAGTAAAGGTCTGCCCATCAGAGGGAGGAAAAATGTCTTCTCATTGAAACCACAGTTTCCTGCAAAGTATGAGGCGTAGCTGAAAAAAAGCTGGCTACAGAGATATCAAAGTGCGTTCCAAAGGAAAAGGAAGGCCAGTTGCTGGGTGCGTGGGCCCCACTCGTGGTTATTAGGGGCTAATAATGGGGGGGTATGCAGGTGCTGAGGGCAGGCGGGAAGGAGCGCAGGGGTGAGTGTGCGAGGTGCCATGGCCATGATCTGACTGCAGTGTTGGGGCCAACTCTCCAAAGCATCTGCTGTACTCTGGGGTGAGGTGCTGACATTGGGAAACCCTGACCGGGAGTCCGACACACCATGGTCTGTGATCGTGAATCCCGGATCTGGGCATTTCACAGCCGTGTGAGCACAGACAAGGTTCGCCCTCCGTAAGCCTCAATGTCCTGATGGCTTCGGTGGAGGGATGCTGGCATCTACTCAGATTTGTTACATCAGATTACAGAATGCACGTCGGTGCCTAGCCCCATGCCTGGAACAGAGTGATTACACAATGATCGTGAGCTCCTATTAATATCTGATTCGTACCGTGTGCTATTTCTCTATGAAAGCCTTTCAGAGCTGAGAGAGTACACAGAGGGGCTCGGGGAGCCCACAGAAGCTGACAGCTGGGACCACAGCTCCCCTCAGTCTGGCCAATCGGTCATCTCCCTGCTGAGCTCCGAGGAATTAAAGAAGCTCATCGAGGAAGTGAAGGTTCTAGATGAAGCGACGTTAAAGGTAGACTTCCTTTGTAAGCACTTACAGTGGCCAGAGGGGATGCAGAAGCGGCCCTCATGGTCCTGCCCCTGGGAGAGGGACATTGTGTCACTGGACCACAGTAAGACCCGCCACTCAAAGGAAGCTTTGTAGCTTATAAAGTGCTTTTAATCATTGGCTTATTGCATCTTTTCAACCATTTTGTAGGTGAGAAAGGTAGGGCTCAAGAGTTTTCTTTCTCTAAGTTCTGTGCTGCGTCTCCATCCCACGGGTTGCTGGCCACGCGTGCGTGTCCAGGGAGATGCTTGCTTCACGGGAGCGTCCTGTTATAAGCAGCCATGTGTTACGAGCTCTCACCGCGGAAACTTCCCCTGCACAGGGAGAAGTGATCGATCCCAGGGCTTGCAAGGCCCCCCCGCCGCCGCCACCCGCACCGTTTCACTCAAGTCATTGTGAAAGTCCCACTTCCCATATGCTCCTGAGCACACCCCAAAGATGTGAGGAGAGGAAGTGGCCAGGCAGAGCTGAGGTCAGCTCAGCTCAGATGAGCACCAGCTCAAGGGCTTGCCCCTCCTGGGTCGTCCCGGATCTGCAATGGCTTTTTGCACCAGAATCATCCAGACTGGGGTGAAAGCATAAAGGAGGCATCATAGCTGAAATTCCCAAGGTCAAGGGTGTTGACTCAGCCTGAGCCACACAAGATGCTCTGGGCTGCGATTCACTCATCACCCGGACCCTGGGACCATCATCCCCCAGCTCTTCATTCACACAGAATAACAGGGTCAAAAGTGTTGTGTCAAAAACAAAGAGCTGTCTTGTCTAGGGTGTCACTGGGAGGCCCATTTGTTTTTCTGCTGGGCAAGAGCAGGTAACCTGATACTTGGGTCAAAGTGGGGAGATCTGGGCCAATGCTGGGGTAGAGGTGGGTGGAGCGGTCCCCTCATCCCCCTGGGTCTTGGGGACTCCCAGTCAAGGGATCACAGTCACAGCTGCACTCCAGGAGCTCTCGCGGTGTCAGAGCAAGGGAATCCTCTGAGGTAAGGTTATTCCCTAGCACCAAGGTACAAATTGGTGGCCCGAGAGCCACGTGGACCTGCAGGTGTATTTTATTTGGTCTGCGTGGTGACTGCTACAATTATTATATTCTAAAGATGGTAAAACCTGAATTGATACCTGGGCATCTGGCTTCTCTCTTTGTTGAAAGGGAACCATCGGGTAGCACTGGGTCTGCATTGCTCTGGGGCACCAGGTTCTTCTGCACAGGAGATGGGCTCCCTGGTTCTCTGCAGAACATGGCAGAGCCATGTTCCCCAATGGGCTGGGTTTCCAGCTGACTTAGTGGCACCCAGCCCTGCCCGCACCAGTGTGGGTGCCGGCGGGGCGGCCAGGAAGGGAAAAGAGTGACACCTGTTACTTTACACACACCTTTTCTCTCCTGAACTTCCTGTGACTCCAGAAAGCACAGCACTCTGGGTCCGGATGATGGAACAGGGTTGAGGAAGGGACAGAACTTGGCATGTGGTCACGCTGGGCCTGGAGATCGAATCAGCCTGACGTTGCCTCCTAGATTGTTCAGGCTGGCGTGGCACATGTTTTTAATATATGTGTTTCCTTCCACAGCAATTAGACAGCATCCATGTCACCATCTTGCACAAGGAGGAAGGGGCTGGCCTTGGGTTCAGCCTGGCAGGAGGAGCGGATCTAGAGAACAAAGTGATCACGGTGAGTGGCCCAGCGCTGGGGGTACGTGAGAGCCAGAGACAATGGCCCCAGCAGAGAGAACACCTGCTAGGAAGGGCCTCTCTGGGGGTCAGACAAGTGGCTGGCACCAGGCCACTGGGCAGGATTTTGAAGGGGAGCTGTTGGCACCCCATCCTTTATAAGAAGTCTAGTCACGTCACCTACGTGACTCCATATTCTACCCTCATCATGATCCTTCACCGAGCAGGGAAGGTCTCTGTGGACCCCAAACAACTTGAATATGCCAAACGAAATCTGAATCACTTGTGGAACCTTAAAAAAAAAAAAAAAATTACAGGTGTCTCAGCCTCACACCAGGACTGCTAGGTCAGAATTTCTCGGGGTTAAAAGGGACATTTTTAAAAAAACTCTTGTCTGGAGGAACATTTTAAAAAACCCAAACCCACCGAATGTCACTGAAGAGTACACTTTAAAGTGGCTCATTGTATGTTACGTGAATTTAAAATCAACAACAAAAATTAGAAGCAAATTTTATTCAATGTCTCTTGTTTTGGAGAGAGACCAGTAACCTGTTCGCGACTGAACATTTAGACAGGAATGGTTTATGGTCACAGGGGCCTTCATGAAAGGCTGTACAGCCGGGATTGAAGACATGGCCCTCATAACGTAGCACAGCACACCTGGGTGCAGAGGGGCCTCACCTGGATAGGAGGACACCTGGGGAAGGCGGGTCCTGTAAAGGAGGCTGCTTTCCTGGATTTGCCCACTGGGACAGGGTGGGGGCGGGGAGTTGGCTTGGATCCTGGAGAGGCTGCTGATGGTTGGTTGGGGCACTAGGGCCACGCTGGAAAGAAGAAGAAGCAGTTTCTGTGAGGGTTCACAAAGCACAAGGCAGGCTGCACCCTGAGGCTTCGGATCGCGTGGTCCAGCCCCTGTTCTCTGGGGATCTGCTGGAGCCTGGGGGGAGAGTGGGGAGGCAGCTGTCCCCCATCACCTGCACCTCTTCCTGTGGACCCCATGACTCTGGCCCACACCGTCTGATCTGCAGTGGGAGTAGTCCACCTGTCTGCCCACCGTGTCTATCTGACCCAGATGGTTTCTGGCCGTCCCATCCTCATGGACCGAGCTGTGACATGGCCGCTCCCTGTCTCCAAAGCGGGGTGCACTGTCCTCGTCGATGGCTGTGTTGTCTCAGTGTATTCTATATGCGGGCTCACACGCATCCCCTTGCCCAGCTGAAAACAAACCCTCCAGCTCATCATCAGCCGGCATGAAACACACCACACCTCCCGGCAGGTGACCTGGCCCATTCCTATTGGTCAGTTCAGAGCCTCCCATGTGTGAGCAGTGACTTCCTTCTTTGCAAGCAGACTCTCTACCACAAAAAAAGCACACAAAACCACCCAGGACCTATTTCTGTCACTAAGCAGCAGCGGCCTATAAAGGGGCTCCTGACTGTGTAGTTGACTTTCTATTGGAGGAGAAGGGAGAACTGGCCTGTGAAAATAGTACTTGGGATCTTTGGGTCTGCCCCAAGTGGTGATTTCTCTCCACCCCATTTGGCCAGCCACCCCGAGACACGGCAGCCACTCAAACACCAGGAGGAAGCAACGCACATCGGCCAGGCATATGCACCAGACTTCCTCTTGCTTCCTCCGTGCGTGAACGCTTCTGTTCCTTTCCCGAGCCATTGCAAGAGAACTAATGTTGAGCCCCATCCAAGACCGAGGGCCATGCTGGGCACTCACTGGCTTGTCTAAACCCATCTTCCCCATGACTCGGGGAGGGTTTGCTGGACATGGAGGGACTGTAGCGGAGGGACTCAGATGCCCAGCAGAGCTTCTGCCTCATACTTGGGACTCGTACGGAGCCTGGGGATCCTCGCCACATCTGACGGCATCACAGAATTTTTCGGACACCAAAATAACTTAGAGAAACAGACAGCCTGGTTTCCATGATGATGTAGCTCATCTCAGTGACCGCCTGTGCACGCTGTCATGCAATCCTCTTAATTATGCGCGTTAGAATTGACCTCATTAAAGAGGCGGAGGCAAAGACATGAGATGTTTAAAAATCCCACATATTCTGCTGAGAGGAGACCACAAGGGGTGGCTAGGGCATTGTGTTAGGAAGGGTTCTGAGGACCAGTCTGGCCATTATTGCTGGCGATCTCTGTTCTGGGTGGCTAGGTTTCACTAACTGGTCCGGATCCTCCTCCAGCAAGAATCTGGATCTGACGCCAGGTGATTCCTGGGTCTTGACTTCCTTTGGTTTGCTCAGGTCCACAGAGTGTTCCCCAACGGGTTGGCCTCCCAGGAGGGAACCATTCAGAAGGGCAATGAGGTTCTATCCATCAACGGCAAGTCCCTCAAAGGGGCCACACACAATGATGCCCTGGCCATTCTCCGCCAAGCTCGGGACCCCAGGCAAGCCGTGATCGTCACCCGGAAGCCGGCTCTGGAGGCCACGCCTGACCTGAACTCCTCCACGGATTCCTCAGCCTCAGCCTCTGTGGCCAGCGAGGTTTCTGTAGATTCCAGTAAGTGCCCCCGAGCTTGGGGGAGGCCCTGTGGACCACATCGCCTTTGGCCACGTGGGGTGGGTGCTGCTGGGGCCGCTCAGTCATGCGTGGCCTGCCTGGCAGGCTGCTGGAGACGCGTGTCCATTTATACGTGCGCGGGCACCAGTCCCAGTCCAGCAGGTGGGCTTCCCCGGCTCGCGTGCTGCCCTGGAGGAGAGTGTCCCTGACAATCCCTGTGTTCCCCCCACAGCAGAGGCCACGGTGCACACGGTGACGCTGCAGAAGACCTCTGCGGGGCTGGGCTTCAGCCTGGAAGGCGGGAAGGGCTCCCTGCTCGGGGACAAGCCTCTCACCGTGAACAGGATTTTCAAAGGTGTGGTGTGCGTCTGCGTCTTTGCGCTCTCTCCAGCTGTGTGTCGGGGCCAGGCCCCCTCAAGGCTTCTGGGCACCCTCGGGGCCACATCAGGTTCCCACAACCCCATGCCCTCCTGGAGGCAGGCAGGCAGGCCACGTAGGGACTCGATTCTGCTTTCTCTAGCTTTTCTCCTCGGCTCGGGACACCCCCTGACTCCTTCTTGCTCGCTGGGTCCTCGTAAGTGACTGAGCCCTGGGCTTGGTTCAGCTGGGCAGGGCTGGGACCAGGGCGACGCCGGGGAGGCACGGCCCGAGGCGCAGCACAGAAGGGGGTCTTCAAACCCGCAGTAGCCAATCTCAACACGCTATTTCTAAAAATTAATTAAACGAAATCCATAATGAACAAAATATCAAAGTTTAAAATAAGGACAGAGTCTTTCCACTTGTACACACTCAGCCTCACCCGCCTCCCCTAATCCTGGACCCATCAGCTCCTGTTTTTATTCAAAACCTTGACATTTTGTTCATCATGGCTTGAGGCGCAAGCCGGCTGAAAGTGGGGATCCCTCGGGTTTTCCCGTGAACATCGTGAATGGCCTGCAGCTCCCACCGACTCTTCGCTGCTCCTCAAGCTGGACCCCAGCACCGCAGAGTGCGGAGCTGTGGGCAGAGAGCACTGGGCAGGAGTCAAGGGACCCGGGTTCCGGCCCCAGCTCAGCCTCTCGCTTGCTGAGAGACCACGGCCCCTGGGGCTGGGGGCTCCTCGTCCACACGGAGTTGTGGGGTGCGTTTGGACCTGGGGGCACGGAGGCTCGCTGGGGGCGTTCCGCAGGAATCCATGTTTACCCTAACTCTGGGAAAGACGTTTTTGACTTTTGAAGGTGGACCTGCAGCTCTGAAGCTCGGCTGGCTATCCAAGTCCTTGGGCTCTTGGCAGGTGCAAAGGGACGATTGTCCCGCACGCAGTGTTAGCAGGACACCTGATAGGCACAAGGGCCTGAAATATTTCAGCAGGTTTTTATTCTCATTACTATTGGCTTTTAGTCACTATTTCTGAATATCATTGTATCAAACGGATGGGAAATCCTCTTTTAATATAAACAATAAAGTAACACTCCTTTGAAAGATGACAGATGAAAGCCATACACGAGGTCCTCTTACATGGGCGCAGGGGTCCCCTCCAGACCGTTCAGAGACAGCGCGCCATGAAGGTTCAACAGTCCCCTTCCCACATCGCCCAGTGCCCGGGGAGCTCATTAGAAGGGGAGAGACCACACGTGGACCGGGGTGTGGGCCTGGTGTCCATGGAGGCTCAGAGGGGGAGCAGCTCCCCAGAGGCCTCTACGACCCATGAAGTCTCCTCAACCTGATTCTGGGCTCGGGGCTGCCCAGAACCTCCCTTCTCTGGGGACACATAGCCTACACCTTTCCCAAGGGCCACAGAGCTGGAGCGTGACGTGCCCACCTCGAGGTCACCGTCTGAGGAGATGCCTCGTTTCAGACCCACCGCCAAGCTCCCGAGGGATGGGCACCCTGTTCCCTCCCGAGCTGTCCTGGCTCCTCGGACACTGAGGGTCGGAGGTAACCTTCCTTGTTCCCCGGTCACCCGTGCAACCCGTTATCTTCTTCCTCCCCCACTCAGGGGCAGCCTCGGAGCAGAGCGAGACAATCGAGCCAGGAGATGAAATCTTACACTTGGCTGGCACGGCCATGCACGGCCTCACGCGGTTTGAAGCCTGGAACATCATCAAGACGTTGCCTGACGGACCTGTCACGATTGTCATCAGGAGGAAAAGCCTGCAGGCCAAGGGGACCACAGCAGCCGGAGACCCCTAGGCGAAGCACCGGTGCCAAAGCCAGTAACACCTAGCTCCTCACAGCCTCGAATTCTCAGGGTCGCTGCTAATTCCCGCCCGGATGGGGAAAAGCAGAGATGTGCTTCCTGGTGGCCGCTGCCCTGGTCCAGACCTTCTGGGATGCCACCCAGCAAGAGGGTTGTCCCCAAAGGAAGAGAGAGTCACACCAGGGTGGCCAATACAGACTATGTCTAGAGAGCGTAATGATAATACTGTGGTGCTGTAAATAAAACAGATATGTTATAGTTTGGTATGAAATCCATGTCCTGCTTTGCGGATTTTCCAAGTCCTCTAACGGTGTAATGATTCACACCCCAGACAGCATTCGCTTTTCTCACGACTCTGCCATGTGGGCAGGCTCGGAGGGGACAGGCCACGCTGCTTTCCTGGGCATCCGCCCGAGCAACTCAGAGGCTGGGCGCTGCAAGCACCCAGAGGGTCATTCTCTCACACCTCTGGCAGCTGATGTTGGCTGTTGGCTGGGAACTGAGCCGGGGCCGTCAGCCCGGACACTCACAGGGGGCCTCGCCCCGGGGCCCGGGCCTCCTCACAACACGGCGGCTGGGTGCAAGGGTGAGAGCCAGGTAGAAGGTGTGTCCTTCTCATGAGCCGGCCTCGGAGCCCCAAGGCATCTTCTGCTGGACCTTATCGGGGGTGCTGGCCCAGGTGCACGGCGAGGGGAGACGCTGCGGGGCTCTTTTGGGAAAACACAATCTACCACACAAAACAGGTGCAAAGCTGGTTTTGGTTGGGTTGGAGACATGATCCTAGGCCTAGGGTGGTACCGGGTGGTGGGGCCAGGACTCCAGGAGGACAGGTGAGGCTCAAAACGTGGGCAGGCGTGCCGACAGCACGGGCCAGCACGCATACAAGAGGGTAAATGAAAAATTGCTACCATTTGCCGACCCCGCGCTGAGCACCGGGCTGGCGGTCAGCGGACACGGTCTTTAATAATCACAGTGCTATCTACACAGTGTGGTTTTGTGCCATTGTACTGATGAGGGCACCAAGACCCGGAGACAGCAGGTGACCCATCCAAGCTGGTGGATGTTGGGGCGGAGATTAAGTCCTTCTTTTCTGTGATCTGGTACAGACGGAACACTGCCTGACCAAAGGGGTATTTGGGGTGTTCATCTCTTAATGCCTGACGGCCACACTCAGGACAAAGGGGCGTATTAGCAGCAACCAGCGCTCCCTGACCAGACCCCGGGCAGCGTCCCAGCCCTGCCCCAGCCCCGTGATCATGGTGGAGACTGGAGGCAACATGCAAACGAGTTATTCCCAGGCCAGGAGTGCTGGGGCCATGTCAGTGGAATCTGGTGGCTTCTCCAGGGTCCACAGGAAGCAAAGACTGTTTCCGGGCAGTGAACTCATAGAAAACCCGCCGGGGGCCCCTCTTCACGCAAATGCTGCGTGTGACGTCACTGCAGTGGGCATCAGCTCGCTGACTCATTCATCCTGGGAAGCAGCGGGCTTACGGTAGTCGCGTCCTGCTTCCTGCCTTGTGCATCCCTTCTGAATTTTGTCAAGCCCTACACAGAGACAAGGACTCTGAGACACCGTGTGGACCGTTTCTTCAGGTTTAACGAACACTGACGATCACCGCGATCCAGCCCTGGAAGGCTGACTGAGTTCCACATGCACGCCACAGGACCCTACCTGTCCTGCCCTGGGCTGGCCGATGAGGACACGCAGACTCGGAGGTACACCCAGCCCATCTCGCAGAGACAACTGGGCAACTGCTGGGCAAGCAGCCAGGTCAGGCATGTGGTCCAGCCCAGGGAAGGAGGAGTGGCCTTCCGTCAGCAGTGGGAGCCAGCGACACGCACAAGCAAACGGCCAGGGACACAGAGAAGGCGTCCTGCACGTCTGGGCAGGCTTGTCTCAGGGCTAGGACACAGCTGGGGGTGAGCCCAGTCCTCCAGTCCCTCCTCCTGCTTCAGAACGTCGCCCTCTCCCCCACTCAGGACGCCACCAGAGGTCAAGTTTCCAGCCTCCAGGTTCGGGGTGGAGTGGGGTGGAGGCTCCTCCGTCCAGGAGCCAGGAGGGTCTTAACACAAGAGCTCATCCATTAGCACTTCGCGGTGCTGGGATTTACATGGGAGATTCGGCTGTCCCTGGCCGACGTCTTCAGAGCGGAGGAGAGGCAGAGAACAGCGCCTCGGCAAGCGGCTTCCGGTCATCCCCGAACACTGCCAGGGACCCACTTCCACCCCATGGACATGCACCCTCCCCAGGGCCTCTCTCAGGCTGCCCTGGTGCTTTGCTTTGAGCCGTGTCTTACCAGACCATACGTCATTTCACCTGCACGGACTCAAGCAGCAGGCTACGTCCGGATTGCTATTCATGTCCCTACACCGTCCTATAAAGACAGGACGTCGGAGCAGGAGCGGGTGAAAGCGCTGTCCAGGAACAGACATTCCGAGTGAGTGGTAGGCACCGGACCAGGCGCATGTTTTCGGACTCCTAGTCCAGCGCACAGTTTCACCCGACGGACCCCGTGGCCCAGGTCCTCGGGGGGCTGGCTTTCCTTGCTACTAGACAGGGTGGCACGGGCGGCTTCCGGGGTCTCCGTGGCCCAGGTCCTCGGGGGGCTGGCTTTCCACGCTACTAGACAGGGCGGCACGGGCGGCTTCCGGGGTCTCCGTGGCCCAGGTCCTCGGGGGGCTGGCTTTCCACGCTACTAGACAGGGCGGCACGGGCGGCTTCCGGGGTCTCCGTGGCCCAGGTCCTCCGGGGGCTGGCTTTCCACGCTACTAGACAGGGCGGCACGGGCGGCTTCCGGAGTCTCCGTGGCCCAGGTCCTCGGGGGGCTGGCTTTCCAGGCTACTAGACAGGGCGGCACGGGCGGCTTCCGGGGTCTCCTGAGCTGGCGCCCAGCAGACTAAAGACCTGCTACGTACTTACTGAGGGAATGAAATCTAAACAAATCCAAGAGTCTGATGAAGATCTCTTGACAAGTTAGCTGGGTCATCCCAATGGCATGATGTGGGATCTGTAGCCACATCACAATACATAAGAAGGGGGCTCTCTCTAACCCCTTGACACGGAGCTTTCCTGTATCAAAGCTTTGCTCACACTTCGGCACATCCGGAGACAGACACCCCAGGACTCGAGGGTGGGGAATAAGCTACTACGCACAAGGGGACTGTCTTCCACTTGTCACTGCCATCACAAGGACACCGTGGCCGGACACAGGGCTGTTCCTCACCCGCAGGCTGTGGGGTCCCGACCGGAGACAGGGAAGGGACCTCGTGTGGCTGCCGAGGCCCCTTCCAGGTGGCAAGGCCGTGCTCCCCAGTTCCGACGACGCACACTCTGGGCCAGGCTGGTGAGGGCCCGCGCGGTCTCAGAGCAGAGCCCGGAGCAGGGACTCCAGCCAGGGCTGCCGGAGGGGACCTGCCCTCCCGTCCTTCATGCTGAGAGCAGTGTGGCCCGACCCGCGAGGACTCCAGCCCGGCCTCCAGACGGAGGGGAGGAGAAGGCGAACGCTGAGGGAGAGAAGGCGCTGCTCAGAGGCAGGAGAGGCCTGCTCCGCTCACCATCATTCCAGACACTACCCGACCCAAGGCTGCAGTCGGCTTGGGGCAGATGCAGGCTGCCTGGGTTCACTGGGGACACGGGAGTTAGTGCAGCAGGAAAGAGCGGGAACGACTGATTCAAAAAGAAACAGTGAATGTATTTTTCCTCAGCGCTTATCTTATTCGTTAAAACAGTATTTTCCAAGCCATTATCTTTTTAAGGGGGGAAATCTGGTGCAGTGTTATCAGGCTGGAGAGCACCGGATACTCACAAGGCAGCAGAGCCTGGCTCGCGGCGTCGATGGGGGTTCTTTCTGACAGACGGGGTGGGGGGCGCAGGCGGTCTCTGGCGGAGACTCGCACACACAGGCTTCAGGCCAGAGCGCATGCCCTGGGGTCCACTGGCTGCGGGTGTGTGGACAAGCAGCAGAGAGGGCACAGGAGCGACGCCCCCAAGCCGGCCCCGAGGGGGCAGGGGGAGCGGGGCGGCGGGGGCCACTCCAGCCAGCTTCTCGGAGACGAGCTGTCCCCAAGCGGGTCCCAAAGGCTGAAAACCGGCCCTCGGGGCTCTCCGGTACACTGCCATTGGGAGCTCCGCGTGAGTCACGGGAGCCCTCGGCCAGTAGGTGAGAACGTCAGTTGTACAAGGTCTTCACGGCTTTCTCCAGGTTGGCATAGAACCCCGCCATGCTGCGGGGGAAGAAGGAGTCCACCACACTCCGTGGGAGGTAGCCGCTGAGGTCGGTCTGGAAGAATGTGACCAGGTTGGTCTTCTCGGGCTCCCTAGGGAAACGGGCAGAGCCGCGTCACGCGTCTGGAGCAGGGCCCTGGGGCCGGGCACCAGGGCCACCGAGGAGGGCTCACCCTGGGAGACAAGGCTGGGACACTGAGAGTCATCATCGGGAACCCCACCCAGCACGGCACCTGCCCGTCACAGAGGCCAAGGGGGGCCTAGACCCTTTAAAACCCTGGCCTCCTCCAAGTCGCACAGACAGGGCAACGGAGGCCTGGAGGGGGATGGGCTGGGCAGGTGAGCAACGCAAGGCAGAACGTGCTGCTCTGGTCTGTGGCTCTTCTACTCTGAGTATTGGCACCGGGGGCTGGGGCGCCTAAGTTCTCAAAAGTGCGAATGAGAAATGAGACAGCTAGACAGAACCGTCCCTGAGCTCAGCTGGCGGGCTGACTGACAGCTTAGCCTCTGGCGCCCCCAGCCCATTCCTCGTGGAGGGGACATGGGGTGGGGACAGCCACCCCGAAGCCACACCCCAGCCACTCTGGGTTGGTGAACAGAGGCCAAAGAGCACAGAAGTGAGGGCCTGGCCCTCCTCCGGCCCTGCACGGCCAGCCTCTGAAACCTCCGACCTGGGAGAGATCCCTTGACCTCCCTGAGCCTGCTCTCTCATCTGCTCCCTGGGACCAGGACCTTTGCCCAGCCTCCTTATGGGGCTGGAGGGGGAGCGATGCCTCCCACAGTTCTGTCCCCTGTGCTAGTGTGTGGGCACACTGCGTCACTGACGTGTTCAGAGCAGTGCTCCGTAATGTCAAAGCCCGCGGGGCCGTAAGGCAGGTTTACTACTGCAAATTGTAATTCATGTGCCCATTGAACAGAAGGTCCACAATAAGCTATGGGTAGGTCTGGGCATGTCACTCAGGCCGGGAGATTGTCCTTACCCCGGCAGAGGCTCGCAGAAGCAGCCACAAGGGTGGTTAAAGCCTCTCACGTAACCTGGCTTCAGGGGACACAATGGGTGCTCCACGTTGACAGCTGGAAGAGAGAGCAAAACGGGAGGTGAGCTACGCCCTCACCCCTAGTGCATGCAGACCCCCCATCTGGAGCCTGAGGAGTCAGCATGGTGCCCCGGGACCTGCCCCTGAGCGCCCCCACCATGCGTTACCCTCACACACACACACACACACACACACACACACACACACACTCACATACATACACATACAAACCCACACACGCACCCACCCATGTTCACGGCTTCCCACGCCTGCCAGCATCTTACAGAAAAGAACATTCCACAGCGGAAGGCTTGGCGGCAGGGGGGAGGCACCCCCTCTGATCCACCCTCTGTCCCCACGTGGAAGATCTGCAGGAATGGCAGGGGCTGCAGCTTTCGGGAGGCAGTGGGACATGCGCCGTGGCGGGAGGGAGGGGACAGCGCGACAAGCCCGCACACCGACAGTGGAGACCTTGAGCCTCAGCAGCGACAAAGGGTGCTGGCCACATCTGTGAGGTCACCGTCGGATGACTGGCCTGTGCACCCTCTCACCTTGGCCCCCCATGGCACGCGCTCCCCCTGCACCTGGTGACACCGCGGCTGTCACTCACCGTTGGAACTGAGGGTCCCATCCTCATACTTCTTGACGAGCACCAAGTCCACGAAGTCTCTGGGGGAGATGAGCTTCATGGCGGCTGGGGGGCTGGCGGTTCTGCTCACGCAGAGCATCTGTCGAAGCACGGAAGAGTCCAGCTGCCCTGTGCCGCACCCCACGCCCAGCGTCTGGGAAATGAGGAGTCTCTGGCCCTCAGAGCAAGGTCCTGGAGGGAGCACCCCTTGATCCGCACCCAATCTCAGAACACCTCACCAGTCCACTCTCCCACCTCGAAGGCAAGGTCGCCCCAACCCACCCAGGCTTCATCCCACCCTTCTCCGCCTCCAGCAGCAACCCCTCCAGGGTCACAGGGGAGAAGAACAGGTCAGCTGTAGGATGGGACGGAGCTCTCTGGGGTGTGGCATATGGGCAAGAAGGGACCGCACTTGAAGGGACTGGGTTTGAGGACAGGGGCGCGGAGCGTCTTGGCAGAGACACCTCTGCCCACAGGGTCTGAGTCTTCAGGTGGGCATGCAATCCCCGGGGGCACTGGGAATCCATGTCCAGATGACTCAGCCTCCCTGTGTTCTTCCTAAAAACACCGGCCTGAGAACAGGCTCACCTTCACACAGCCTCTCCCTTTCCACCTGAGACAAACGCACAGCACACCCTCCCCATCTGGAATCTTCCTAGCAGGCACGGTCCCTGGGTGCCAAGTCTCTCAGAGCACCAGGGGGACACGTCAGGATGCTGATTCCAATAGCTGAGCAAGGCATGGCATGCTGGAGTTAGAATCCCATGTTCTCCCCTCTTATTAAGACCAAAGCTTGCTGTAAGAAACAAGGCAGTTTGGCACTGCGGAATTCTTCTCGTCCTGATTCCTGCTGTAGGATGCATCATTGCTGAAGGAGCACTTACAGTATTGATAAGAAAGGCGAAAGGCAGCAACACGTGACAGATCCATAAACTCGCACCCGGCTCTGTGCCCATCCTGCTGCCCGTCTGTCACCCATCTGTCCAACTCAGAATTCGAGTACTTGGCATTTCTCAAAATCAAGCTGATAAATACCAGTCTGCATGGGAGGGCTCCTTCTCTGCATTCTCGCCATTCCCCTGAACGGCAAGGAGGAACCACAGGTCGGCTTCTTCTCCCCTTCTCCAGAACCTCAGCTCACCAGCAGCCTGTGTCTTCCTCTATTCCCAGTTACTGTCCACCGAAGCCTCCACCTTTCTGTCTTTTTTTTTCTTTAAAGATTTCATTTCTAAGTCATCTCTGCATCCAACAATGTGGGGCTCGAACCTACAGCCCCGAGGTCCACAGTCACCTACTCCACTGACCGAGCCAGCCAGGCGCCCCTCTCCTTCTAGCAGTAAGTCCTATCTTTTCATGGGCACATGAATTAACTTGAGAAAAGACCTCCCATTCCCCTCACCGAGAGATGTAAAATAGATTACTTTTTACATATAAGAGTCCTTCATCCACATTTGTAATGTATCTTAAGGTCACAGGAGATATATTATATACATAAATATATATACATATAATTCATGTACATATTTATGATGAAGGATGATGTCTTTGAAGAATAAATATATTAGGATAAAATTCAGTAGCCTACTTGCAATGGAAAAATAAGTTCAAGAAATGATGAGAAGAACTAAGGCAAAAGAAAGTGGATAAAATTAAATTTCCTTACAACTTGCAGCCAAATGACAAATCCTTGAGTCAGGCAGAGTAAGATATTCCTCCAGGAACCCAGGACTGCCTTCTTGTCAATGCTTTGCTAGAGGCAAAAAGCAACCTTAGCTCGATCACAGCCAGGCCTCCAGGATCCTGGAAGTCTTCTTCAGCATACGAAAATCCTTTTGGAAACTTCCTTTCTCTCTACCCCCCAACTTAAAACTATATATAATCAATAGCTCCTCACACTCCCAGGGCAGATCTCTCTGCCCCTGGGTCCTGTCCCTGTGCTTTAATAAAAGCACCTTTCTGCACCTAACCTGTCTCAAGAATTCTTTCTTCACCATTCGCTCCTGGCCCACATCACATCAATGTAGTTTTGAAATAAATGATAGTAAATAAAACTTCATGTCATGCAGATACATCTAAAAGAATGAAGTCATCGTTTTGCTCAAAATTGCCTGATTTATCACATGTTAAAAATGCCATGCTTTTAGGGGCGCCTGGGTGGCTCAGTGGGTTCAGCGTCTGCCTTCGGCTCAGGTCAGGATCCCAGGGTCCTGGGATCGAGCCCCGCGTCGGGCTTCCTGCTCAGCGGCGAGTCTGCTTCTCCCTCTCCCTCTGTGATCGCTTTCACTCTCTCTCAAATAAATAAATAAAAAAAAAATGTTTTTAAAAAAAATGTCATTCTTTGCAATTTATGATGAAAATTTTAGACGTTAACTAGATGTTAGGTGTCAAGTGCATGTGTGGGGATGACGTAAGACTTCAGTCTGTTGGAGATATGCATGCAAAACATTTGAAAACTTGCAGGACAGGACTGACAGGGTCAGGCAGGGTTCAGGGGAGGGGGGAGGGAGTGGGGGCTGCTTTGGGCCCACACTGGCTCAGCCCTAGGCCAAGGACTGAGGGTCCCCTGTGGCCCCAGGCAGGGAAGCAGGCATGCCTTCCTAGAAAGAACCAGAGTGCTCAGAGAGAGACCGTGTAGCATTGAGGAGGAGCAGAAGGCTAGCTGAGGACAAAGCACTGGCTGACAACCTGCAACCTACCCCCACCCCCCATTCCTGAGTGGGTATGTGTGACATTCCTCCAGGAAACTTTCAATTATCTTACTGTTCAGGCTTTCCTAGAGGCTAAAGCAACCTTAGCTCGCTAATAGCCAAGCCTACAGTATCCCAGGGTCTTCTGTAGCATATATGAAAGTCCTTTTTCCTTACCTTCCCCAACTCCCAAGTCCAAACACCCTACGGAAATGCAGCCATGGTTACCTTCAGTAAGAAAACTCCATATATGGTCATTCTGTCACATTTGTGTTAGGTTGTAAAGGGCCTTAGCCCATGGTTTCTCAACTCGAAGCATGTGTGTATAATTATTTGTATATTGTCTTCCCAATTTTTTTACTCTCTCTGGTAGCCCTTATGTTGCTGTTCACTTAATATTTTTATCTAAATGTGCTCACTTTTATAAACTTGGACAAATTTATTTTAAAAGGATGCTACTTAACTATCTGCAAAATATACACACAAAGGATTGCTGGGTTCTAATTCTGATTCTGAGGTTGAGGCCAGCTGTCCGGTTTTGTTATAAAGGAGATTAGCCAAGTGTTAAATGGGTGTCACAGGCACATTAGCACCTAACTGAAACTCTCCCCTTCAAAAGCTAGGAGAGGAATTAAAAAAGAACTGAGTCCTGGTGACATCACCATGTCTGATTCAATTTCAGTGTTTGCCTAATATCCTTTGTATCTCGGGGGTGTGTGCCCCACCCTTCAGGAAATACCCACATAAACTCTTGACAATGAACTGAAATGTGAATCTTTGTCCAGGCCAAGAACACCTGGGTCCTCCAGATGGGCCAGCACAGAACTATGGCCTGAGGTTTCACAACACCATCTGTGTAAACACGCGAGAGGGTGTCACATCTATGGATGTCAGAATCAAACAGGTTGGCAACATCTCCCCAAGGCAACTGCATTATTAGTTTTGGCTACGAGTTTTTTTTTCCTTCTTAACTTCTGTAATCAAAACGAGGTGTGTTCTTAATGCTACAAATTCCTAACGCTCAATATTCTCAGGACAGAAGCACCTAGAATTATGCCACTAGCGTCACGTGGTTATTTAAATTTACCCTGAGACTAATGAAAAATAAATAAAGTGAAAAATTCGTTTCCTCCAACTAGACACCTTTCAAGTGCTCTGTGGCCCCATGGGGGCTAGGGGCTACTGTAGTGGACAGGGTTGTTACAGAACATTTCCATCATTCTGGAAAGTTCTACTGGGCAGCGCTAGCGTGGACGACATACATTGTACCAATGGAGAAACTGTAATCCCTACAGCTGGGCAGAGAACCCTGGCTCTGGCCACGACTCTGGATTCACCATCACGGCCCCATCAAGGGGCACTATTTCACACCCAAGCTGATGAATCAAATCCAGCCACAGCTTTAGCAACCTCAGAGCCCACATTCACGCTGCCCGCCTTCATAGCACCTGCGATTTCTCTGAGCTCCGCTTAGGACTTCTCCACCCATCTGGTCACAGGCTTTCCCACCTGCAGCAGACTGGGGCTGTGCGGGGTCCTGCCCTTGCCAAAAGGTGTCCCTGACCCCCTCCAGAGGGACAGGGTCAGGTTACTTGCTAGGGTAACAGCGCTCAGAAAGACTTACATCAGTGAGGCTTTCGATAATTTCAAAGCTGCTCACGTTCTCATCCCACTTGTCCCGAAGGGTCCCAGCAAGCGGCTTGATGCAGCCCCACACCTTCTCCGGTGTCGCGTTCACGATTCCTTCTCCCCGGTACCTGGAGCACAAGAAGGAATGTGAGCCCAGGAACCCACCAAAGCTTTTGATCCCGGGATCATACAGGAGGACTAACCGCCACATCTGTCATTGCTCTTTACGACACCCTTGCAGATCAGGGGCTGAGAGTTAACCAGCCCACCTCCCCTCAGACCTGCAGAAACGGACCGTGAGTTTTCACGAGATACAGTTTGCTGGAAATGATTTAGATAATAATAACAGAAGCTTTTCCGGAATATAATTGGCAAGTGGATTCCAGGGTGCTAGGGTAGATTGGAATTATTTTAGGAAGCAAACCCACAGAGACATCAAGAAGGAGTAGCACCTCTGACAAACTTTGACAAGGCATGCACTTACAGGTTCCCTGGAAACTCCATAGATGGCCTCCAGGAAACTGAAACTCCATTCTGTCAAAAGGCACAGAATCGTAGAATTTAGAGCTAGAAAGGCTCTGGGAGATCACCTGACCCAATCCCCTGTGCTATACAGAAGAGAAGTCTGGAGCCTCAAGAGATGTGATCTGACCTGGCTGATTCGAAGAGCCCTGGGTGTTTTTCAAACTTCCTAAAAGCCACCATGCCATTTGTCTCCTCAAGCAATTTCCATCTATTCCTTAAAAATTAGAAGCCTCGCATAAGCAAAAACTATTCCCGTGCCACCCTCCTGGGAACGGGGAGAGGCTCATGCTAAGATGAGGACAGGCTCTGGAGCCTCACCACCATTTGCTAGCCAGCCGACTGTGGGCAAGTCACTCAATGAAAGGGACAGATACATCTCCCGGGGTCCTAGTGCACACAACAGGCCCAGGATTTTTTAAAGAAACAACCCTCAATGGAATCTACCCCTACCCAATCCAGCTCCAGGGTATTAGAGAGCAGAAAGGAGCAGGAAGAGGAGCCTAGGGCCTTCGGAGACCCCAGCCCCAGGGCGCACGCGACCCCTTCCTGCCCAGCTCCTCACTCACGCCTTCCCGGCAAATCTTCCATCCTGACTCGTCCCGCCGGTACCGGAGCACCTTCTCCGCCACCGCCTCGCTCATCTGCGCGGCCAGCGCAGGGTCCATAGCGCCAAGGGTTGCGCGTGGCTGCGGGGTCGACGCCCGAGTGCGCGGTGGCGGAGGCTGGCTCTGGGTCTGCGAGGCCGCCGCGCCCGGGCCGGGGGACGGAGCCTCAGCCCAGGCCCCGCCCCACGCCCCCGGATTGGCCCAGGCGGGCAGACAGGCCCCGCCCCGCCCCGCCCGGAGATTGGCAGGGCCGGAGACGGCCGGGCCAGGCTGGGCGGTCCTGGGCGGGCGGTGTAGACCTGCGGGTCCGCCTCCGGCCTGGGAGGGGCCTTGCGCCTCGAGCTGGCGGGGCGGCCCCGCGGGGCCACTAGCGGCCGGGAGCGTGGACTTCCGCTCCGAGCGCCCAGAGGCCTGCGGCGGGGCGGGGCGGCGGTGCAGTTTGCTTCGGAGATGACGTGGGGCGGCTGCTGCGGGGGGAGTGCGCGCGGCGGGGCGGGGCGGGCCGCGCAGGAGAGGGCTCCTGGGGCAGGGCCCCCGGGTGGGATCTGGAGGTCTGTGCCACTGAAGCGGCGAGCTCGGTGGCCCCGCCCTGCGGCCGGAGCACCTGCTGGCCCAGCTGAGTGGAGACCTGGCGCGTTCAGTTCTGGGCACGGGTTTTTGTTTTAATTTTTATTTACATTCTAGTTAGTTAGCCTACAGCGCACTATTGGTTTCAGGAGTAGAACTCAGTGGTTCATCACCTACATACAACACCCAGTGCTCCTCACAAGTGCCCTCTTTAATACCCATCCCCCACCCAGCCCATCCCTCACCCACCTCCCTCCATCAACCCTCAGTTTGTTCTCTTTAGTTTTTGGCCATAGGGCCTGAAGGAGCTAAGTGGAGGTGTCCAGGAGGCTGAGATGCCCGGGCATCTGGGGGAGAGCTGGGCTCTGGCTAAGAGGTACAGGCTTCTCCGCGAGCAGGTGGCCCAGGTCTTGGGGAGCGAGTGGGGTCACATCCCCCGCGTGTGAATGGCAGGGGCAGTCTCGTTTTCCTCCTCTTATATAACCAACTAAATATTTGAAAAGGTCAGCACAGAGGCCTATTTGTGCTTCTATTTGTCTGTTTATCATTTCATTTAAAGGTTTGAAAAAATGGTTGTAAACACAATGACTGCTTGAAAACCCTTTTCGGAGGATGTGATAGGCTGTGGGGTTGTAAAGAAGCCGTGCATGGGGAATTAGGGAGTTCCAGACTCTGGACCCAGCTTCATCCAGTAGTGGCTGTGTGGTTTTGGGGCAAGTCACTTAACGTCTTAGTGCCTCAGTTTGCTCCAAGGGGAAATGGGACACTAATACGTGTCTCTGTGTGCCATTGTGATGGGCAAGTGACGTGACACAAGTGGGTATTCCTGGGAGCCATAAAAAAAAGACCGATAAGGTAACCACATTAAAAAAAATTAGGCATGGGTGGCTCAGTCAGTTAAGTCTCTGCCTTCGGTCAGGTCATAATCCCAGGGTCCTGGGATTGAGTCCTGCATCGGGCTCCCTGCTCAGCGGGGAGCCTGCTTCTCCCTCTGCCTGCCGCTCCCCCTGGCTTGTGCTCTCTGACAAATAAATAAAAAAAAATTTTTTTAAAAATTAAGCACATCAAAAATACCACAAAAAGTTAGGCAATAGTCTGAAGGAAAAAATGGAGCATATTTTGACTGAAAGTAAATTTTTTCATGTATAAAGTGCTCTTATAAATTACTAGGAAATTTTCAAACAACCTAACAGACAAAACTAATGCATCAGATGTGAACAGATACTCTGCAGAAACCCAAATTAACAGGGCTAATAAAGATATGAAAAGATGCAGAACCTCCTTCCTAGCTAGGGAATTTGTAATTAAAACAAGGGAACATGTTCACAGCTATCTGATGGGTAGATAGGAAGAAGTTTGTTAATTCCCTGTGTTGGTGAGTGTATAGAGAAATTTTTTTATACACTGTGGGCAAGAGTGTAAGTTTATGTAATTTTCTGGGAGGAAAACAACCTATCTTAAAATTTTAGTTTACTTGTGTTTTGACCCAGCGCCTCCTGCACAGGGATGCATAAGATGCATCTTGCAACAGGAAACGGTCTATTTGTCAAAAGAGTAAAGAAAGTGACAGGCTATTCATTTGGTGGAATATTATGTAGCCATTAAAGCAATGTGACACAGATGAAGGAAGGTGGGACTGGAACAGGAAATGATCTCTAGAGCTCAGGCAGCTGTCTAGAAACAGGAGTTGATATGAATAGACTATTCTAACCAAGTGCAATTGATTCTCTACAAAGGAAATAAATGGTATTTAAAACTTAACTTTAAAAACAACTTAATACTATTTAAATTCTTGTCCTTCCCCCCATAAAATGTTTTATATGTGTACTGACAGGGAACAATGTTTATATATATATATATATATATATATATATATATAGTATACACACACACACACATATATATATAGTCCAATATGTAAACTGAAGGACAGGAGTATTGTAGGTAAGTCAGTGCTCAGCTCAGATTGCCTGAGTCCAGGTCCAGATCCCAGCATTACCACTCACTAGCTGTGACCCTGGTAAGTCACTGGCCCTTGCAGATCTTAGCATCCTCCTTTGGAAAATGAGAAAAATAATAGTATTGACTCATAAGGTTGACATACGGATCAAAGGTTTTAATAGAGAAGTGCCTGGGTGGCTCAGTCATTAAGCGTCTGCCTTCGGCTCAGGTCTTGATCCCGGGGTTCTGGGATCGAGCCCCACGACGGGCTCCCTGCTTGGCGGAGAGCCTGCTTCTCCCTCCCCCACTCTCTCTGCTTGTGTTCCCTCTCTCGCTGTGTCTCTCTCTGTCAAACAAATAAATAAAATCTTTAAAAAAAAAGATTTTAATAGATGAATAACAATTAGAATGGTGCTTGGCATACAATCCATGTTTATGTATGATATATAATATCCATAAATATCTTGAGAGAAATAACTAGAGATGTTTGTATATGTTTATACATCAACGTTTTTAGAAGACTGACTTCTGGAAAGGTTTAGAATAAACTGTGAGCCATAGGGAGTAATGCCAAAGGAGATTACTTTCTTATTTTATATCATCGCATGCTATTTAATTATTTTAACTACTAATATGTAAGACTTTTTAAATTACAAAAAAAAGCCTCATTGAACAGTTCAATGTAGACTATTTTGGTAGTGCTGCAGCTCGAAACCTGGTCAGGCGGGGGCCTCCCAGAATTTTGTTTGGGGATAAAATGCTCTGAAAACAAAGCTGGAGGAAACTAAATCTTGCTATAGAAAGTGACTTCTGTTAGACATCAGATACACAAGAGATTTCTATTTTTATCAAATGGAGCATTAGTTTTGAAATTTTTTTTTATCACTGTAAGAGCTTCTAATGTTTGCTCTCAGAAAATGGGAAGCCCTGGGTAGATGAAATATTCGGAAGAGAAAAGCGACCCCCGAGGCCTGTGACAAATGGCAGCAGGAGACGGGTGAGGTCAGGACAGTCCTGGGGGAAGCTCCGGTCTGTCTCGCCTGGGGAGGCCTGGCATGGCAGGATGAGAAGCTGCCTGGGCAGGAGGCAGGAGGTCCGCCCACATGGCCAGCTGATCAGTGGGGCCTGGGGTGGCAGTTCAGAGCTGATGGGAAGGAGGGGGTGTGTAGTCTCCCCCGATCAGAGCCGCTTCAGCAAGGTCCTCGGGGCTCTGAGTAACCCAGCTGTGAGGGCAGGCCTCACCGAAGTCCCAGCTGAATTTTAAATAGGTGTATACAGCATGGGGGGCCCAGCGGTGTCCACCCCAAACCGGCTCCAGACCATGGATGGGTGGGGCCACGTGTGCAAGTGCTCCAACCCTAAAAGCTCCTGGATGGAGAACGTGCTTTCCACTTGGACCGTGATGTTCGTTATGTTATTTGTTACGTTCGCTCGGGCAGCTGCTGTCGGCACAGATGAATCTCTTTCTGCAAAGCATGTGTATGTCTGTTTAATCTTAGCGACAGCTGATTGTTATTGAGCTGTGCTACTTGCTGATCAACGTCCTGGGCACTGCACCGGTGCTGGACCTTGGAACCCTCACAACACCCCAGCATTAGGAAGTGCAGACCACATCCCATTTTCAGGCTATGAAACTGAAAATCATATCACTAGTAAGGAGCAGAGCTGTGGTGCACACCCAGTTCCTTTTTCTGAAGGTCATGGGTTTACTTACACGTTTTACTGCCTCTTCCTCCCTGTAAGGATACACAGTGTTTAGCATGAAATGGGCAAGAGTAAAATCAGAAATTGCAATAATATACAAACCCCCAAAAAGAGGGAATACACACATACACACACGCACACAGAGTAGCTGGAAAGCAGGAATACTACCTCAGACTACAGAAGCGAGTCTTTTAAAGATGCACAGAAAATTTTTCTCTAAATGTTCTGGCCTTCACGAATTTGGAAACATAAGCAGTGACCAAGGGAGTGTCCTTAGGTTACTGAGATATTTACCAGACTATTCCTATCAAGAGGAGTTCATGTGTCATATTTAATGGATACAGTTGTGACGATTTCTGAGACCCCGGAGGAGTCTGTTACATGGGCTTTTTTAGGAGGGATTTTTAATAATAGTGTGGGTCATATTCTCAGTGATGGTTTGACCAAAGGACAGATGTGAATCATTACACCCCACCGCCCATCACTGAAAGCCAAAGGACCATCATGGAAAGCCAAAGGAATGTTGTGAAGCGTCAGTTAGGAGAAGGTGTTCGATGGTGCAGACGTGAAGCTTCCCGCGGGATGCAGCGGGTAGAAGGGCCAGAGCTGGTGGCCTCTGCCAACAGAAAACCCAGCAAAGGCGGGTAGGCCATCGGTTCACAGAAGAGAAAATGCAGAGGGCCAATCCACACAGGGGAAGATGCTAACAACCAGGGAAATGCAAATTAATTAAAATAACTAGGGATTTTTTTTTTCAGCGGGTTGGCAAAATTTACAGAGTGTGGCGATATCAAGTTCGGGTGGGGCTATAAGCAAAATGGCCCTTGTCATCTGCAGATGGAGTTTGCATG